AACCTGATATGCTGACTTGGACGCAAATAAACTCCAATAGGATGGATGATTAAAAGGACAATAAAAGTCTGTGAGATAGGTAACATTACCTTAACAATAGAGCACAAATATTAAGGGAAAGATTTGTTTACAACAAGTACTACAAACCAAGAGAATATGAGGAAAATTATAGTCAAACAGCAAGAAGTGAGAAGGATAACTGGTACTTTGAAATGTGAATGAAGGAACAAAACAAGAAAAGACTGATGCAAGAAGAGACAAGGATAAGGACAATTGTCAATAAGCACAAAATAGGACGTGGTGTTCCGACACTAAGACAGGTACAATATCACATAAAACTTTCTCATGAAAAAGTCGAGGCAAATTTATGAAGATGACAAGGAAATAATGAGGCAATGAATAATGATTAAATTAAGTCTTCACCAACTACTGTATAGCCAAATAGCTGGTTACTAGTACCTGTACTAATGAAAAACTGAAAACTAAATTTATTTAAGCTTTCATCCAGCATGACCTGGTGATGTTCCTGGATCTGAAGTTTTAGCTCTATCTGACATCCCAGCATGACAGCATGACTGACAGTGTGCGCACACTGTGTGTCAAATAGAGAGCTGCTATTAAACAAAATTTGCTACAGTGGCCCTAACATGAATGATCTTCATCTAAGTATCAACTAGAGGGACTAAAACACACAAACTTCCATGATCAGAAGATTAACAGCAGTTTACAACAGACATTATGGATTACCTGTCAAACAATGTAGCTATATACAGCATATCACTACATTTAAATGGCACAAAATTAAAGATAAACCATACAATATCATTAGCATGGAAAGCACAATTTTTTTTTTTTAATATGCCAGTTTTATATATTAATCCCCTTTAATCATTATCTGCATGTAGGTGCTTTATCCACTAATTTAAGAGTTCAAGGTTACAAGTTTTTCTAAATATATACACTTATAATTTCTATATAAGTACCTAGGTTTATATTTCAAAATAATATATATGATTCTTATAACAAATTCTGTTTTTGCTTTCATATTAAGCAAAGTTTAAGTCAACATACCGTCTCACCAATCGTATTTATCTTCACTTTGGGTCCGTAAACCCAGTCATTCAAAGTTACGGCAACTTTATACTGTACAGTTTTTTGCCTTGTGAACTGTAAATGATTCATGTTAATATCTTCTTGGAAAATGCACAGGTATACATTCACTTTAGTAACTGCAGCTCAATCCATCTACCTCTGCTATTTCACACATAATCACAAAGTAATTTCAGAAAATAGAATATACAGTATTATACTGTACTGTTAATTGGACACAACACAAATAAGTTAAAATGACTGGTAGTGGAAATGCACTTAATGAGTTAATTACTTATTAAACAAAGCACTAAGCTAGTATGACTATATAACACTATGCAAGTCAACTAAAGGGTAACTCAGAAGCAAGTTATGTGAGGAAGAATAGTAAAAGCATTATCATAATATTTGAGGTTTCCATCCTGATTTCCCAAACTTGTAAATGCTAAAAATAAACATTTCATACCACATGAGAATTGGCCTGCTTAAATGACATCTAAAATTAAGATTTATTAATTCAACTTTTCACTGTAAACTAAAAGCAGTGGTGTGGCATAAGTAATAGCTTGGCTAGATTACTACCATATTCTGTCTTTCTCCAATTTATCAGCCAATTACACAAAATTAGTTCACAATATATTCTGTATATATATTAGAGTCATCAAGCAATGCCAATATTCAAGCTATAAATAGCCATCCACATACCTTGAGCCCCAAATCCTTGTTATTCCCTGCAGGTATCAACACAGGTGCAGATGATAGTTCTAATTACTTAATCTGTTACCTTCATAAACTAATACAGTACCTACATCTCCTAGTAAATATCCAGTTCATTCATCCTTACTAAAAACATTTTGAAAGGAGACACATTTACCTGTTAACCACAAGGAGAGAGCAATGCTAAATAGTAATGATTAATAGAAGACGCAGACAATACGAAGTAGTAGTAATTCAAGAAGGTACCAAGCCTGGGAAGACCCTCTCGCACTGTCACAGTATATTTGAAAGTTCCTACATGTCATTCATGATGCCAATAACAGAGCAAAATGACATAACATGGGTAACGAGACAAGGAGAAAAAGTATCAACTAGCTATTAACTAAACAGCCAAGGCACCCCTAAGGATTGCCTTAGTACATTACTTAAATACAGAGGGAATGTTCTTATAAATACAATGAGAAGCACAAATTAACACTCGGGGAGAAACAAGTCACTTCTAAATATACCATTTTAGTCTATATGGAAATGCTCTTCAGCAAACACACTCGGTATAAAGATTAAATATGAAGATCTAATTTCTGTTTTTTTTTTTGTGCACTTGTCAGAGATTTTAAATGCAGATGTTTTGAGACTGGTAAGTAATTATCAAAGGAAAACGTGAAGCCGAGAAGACTACGCAGACCTATTATTTGTGCAATGATAGAAAAGAAAGAGCACTGACTGCAAAAACCCAGGTGCGTCCAGTGTTAACATTCTCTATAACCACCCTTCTCCTGACACCGACACATTAGATAAGCAACTTCCTCTCAAGGACCCAAACACAAGAAAATAAGTATTATTGTCCCCACAATACTGTACTATTTTTTTTTATCTCATCACTGTTCACAATATCCTTATCCAATAGCCTCTACCATTTATAGTTCCCCTATTCTCATTTTCTGCAACATTTATGTTAGTACTGCACTAGACTATTAATCTCAACTTTTTTTTAATTTCAAATTTCAATATATATATATATACACACACACACACACTAATAATAATAATTATTATAATAATAATAATAATAATAATAGTTTTTATGCAGGGGGGGTTCTTTAAGACATGAAAATTATTTCAAAGTTCTGCAAGGGTAAGAAGGTTGAGATATGCTGCTCTAGAATTATATAAGAAGTTCTGGTGTCCAAATACATGAAAATTTAGAAAACCACAAATCATGAATTGAGCTACTTTAAAAGTTGGTGTAGACCTACGCATTTTCGATACTGTATAAGTATGAGATAAAGAATAATTTTGAGATTCACAATACACCCACAAATATCCACCAAAAAATAAGATCTTTGATATGATTTTAGAACTGTCTTAATTTTTATATTTCTTCTGCTTCATACATTTCAACTGCTTATGATGATTATAAGGTAAATAAAGTAAATGTTCATTTAAAACCTTTCAACATAACCACAATATGGAGAGACAATAATTCCATAAAGACATACTAACGTTTGAAAATGCCTTTTAATAAAAATAGTAATGTACTTCTTATAACATACAACTTTATTCATAAATATTTTTTTGTTATTAACATTTGTGCATTTAATATTTCAATAATACCTCGGGCTAAAGCATACAGGCATATTATTATGAAATGTAGTCATCTTAACAAACTATTACATGACACAAAAAGGAAATATTATAGCACCAAATTAAGGTTCAAAGCTAAAGATACATTCAGAAATATAGTATCTATATACAGTAAGACTTTGCTATATAGACCACCAATGAGACTTGTTTAGTAAGGGGAGGGATTGGGGGGGGGGGTATTAACACCAAGTCAAAACTAAGACCAGACTGGAGAATCATTCAATACAGGCTGTGAACTAAATAATAAATAATGATACTAAAATATAAATATTTTATGAACTACATCAGTAATGAATGGCTCATGCAACAGAAGCTGCAGAAAGATATGTTTGGTTTCATGAAGTAACCTGCAACACTAAATGAATACATGATATATGAACACGGTTTTCTGTACAGACAAAAAAACATGGCATGTGGGTTTGAGCTGTCCGTGCCCAGCTCCAGCTCACAACACAACACAGCTTCAAGTGTCAGTTTGTCATGTGGTGTACAATGCTTGGGTCTAGGTAGACCCACCCCCAGCTGTAGCAGCTTGTAAAACCAACCAAAATAGCCAACTGTACACATGAAGTACAGTGCATGGGTTTGGGTTGCCCCCCTCCCCCCACCCTAGTCACGGTGGTACATGGGTCAATTTGTGGAGCGACCCCCCCACAACATTTCAGCACGTATGTGCACAGGTACATATTTTTAAGTTATCTATTTAATAATTGCATTAATGGGGAAAAAAAGTGATCCAGTTGTACTGGTGTTATGAAACTTGTAATGCATACTGTAATTGAGAGGCTTTCATAGTTTTAAACACAAGAAAAATGTATAACATTTGCTGTATACAGAGTGAATGTGAGAGTGAGTGAGTGAGTGAGTGAGTGAGTGAGTGAGTGAGCGTGTGTGTGTGTGTGTGTGTGTGTGTGTGTGTGTGTGTGTGTGTGTGTGTGTGTGTGTGTGTGTGTGTGTGTGTGTGTGTGTGTGTGTGTGTGTGTGTGTGTGTGTGTTACTTGGCTTCTAAATATATATATATATATTATATATATAAATATATATATATTATATATATATATAAATATATATATATTATATATATATATAAATATATATATATTATATATATATATAAATATATATATATAACTGATAAAACTGCTGAAAACTCCACACCCCAGAAGGATTCGAACCCAGACAGCCAGGAGCATTATGCACCTTGGCGTATCTGGTACCTCAACAGCTTGACCACACTGACTGTAGAAAAAACCAGCGTTGAATGTAATGAATGCCATTTTCTGGGTGAGACCCGGAGGCTCCCCAGAGCTATCCAGGCTGATATGCGACTACAGTACTAGCTTTCTGGCATTAAAGTGCATGGAGTTCTTGCCTACCGGGGACCACGAGCCAAAACCTGGCCCCCTCAGAGAGACATGAGAAGCAATGGCCTATAGAAACCCCCTGTGTGCTTGGAAGCATTCTATGTCTGCCATCGACCAGGTCTGGCACCTAGAAATATAGGTGCCCCAAAACAAACCACTATTATCTTGAAAATATTGCTACCGAAAGCCGAACGAGTGGACAGAACTCCCCAAGTGAAAACTAGCAAACTAGCATGATGTCATCATGTCCCCGCACTGCCATCTGCGCAACCCCCCCCCCTCTCCCCAGGAGGGGGAAGGGGAAGCCCCAGACTCTAGCCCCAACGATCCAACCAGCAGTTCTTGGCTGATGTGATACTGGCAGGTCGGGTGCCTCTAGCTCCAGTTATTGTTTTCAGTTTCTGTGCTTTGTGGCTTGAGCCCTCAACAAGTGAGCCAGAAGAAATATTCTGCGGTACTCAGGCTGCATGCGCCTAGGGTTTCCTTCCCCAGGTGCCCTGTAAGTACTTCCCTTGGGGCTTGGGGCCACCTTCCACAAGTCACCTTAGGTTCTACTTCCGCTGTGTCTTTTACTGCTCGGTATTTGGCCGCCCTTGGAGTCAGCTGGGGATTTTATTGCCCTTGTTTGCCTCTGGGTAGGAGGTATTTTTCTGTCACTGGTGGGGGCACAGGGGTATTGCACAGCTAGTTTTCACCTATAGTAGCAGGCAGCTCTGTTCTGCCTGAATACGTTGTCCTCCTCCAGGACTTATCTTTTCTTTGCAGGGTGTTCCCTGCCTGGTGGGGGTCTGCCTTTGGTTGGTTGCCCCTATCTGTACTTGGGGTTTTCTATCTCAATTCTCTGTGTTCTGGGTGACACCCCCTGCTTGGCCCCCATGAGTGGACACATTTCTGGGGGTTCAGCTTTAGAAGTTTTCTTGGTAGTTTTGGGAGCCTGTTTGCAGTACCCTGCCTGGGTTTCCCTAAGCGTGATACCAAGGCTAAGGGCCCTGGGAAACCCCACAGGGGTTCCGTGATTCGATGGATGCGACCCTCAAGTCCCCTCTCGCTTTGTGCGAGTTCGATGTTGCTCGGCTACTTGTCTCGGGGTGACATTCACCGGTTGTGCCTCTGCCATGCTGCCTGTCGGGTCGGTGATCCTTTTGACCCGGAGTCATGTGACATTTGCTCCTTGTGCTCCAGAACATATGTGGATGTAAGCAGCAGAGGCATTTAGGTTACTGCAACGCGTCGAGTTGATCGCTTCCCCGGTTGCTCCGGTACTGCCTTGTTTTGGTTTCGGGACCCGGACTTTGGGGTAGGAGTACGACCTTCCTTTCCCTTCTGTCGTGCGTCCGGTCCCCTTCTCCCTGGCTTCCGGCTCCATGTGTAGGAACATATGTAAATATGTCTTTATTATTAAGGAAATATACAAAGAAGTAGATCGTTCCCCACTGGCATATGAGCTGTGGGAGGAGTGTCAGTTTTATGCTGCTATGGGCAAAGTATGATACTTAGAAAATTTATGTTAATTTTCAACCTTAGACAAACTGACATTCTAATTTATAGATAAAGATAAAAACAAAAAGCCAAGTGTGGTGGTTATACCATAAACAAGATTTGATCAGAAAGTTTACCAAACAGAGTAATCTCAGAACAATTTGTGAATGAACTCATGTTTTTTCCTCTACTCTTTGACTGGAGAGAGAGAGAAATGTACCATATCTAATTGCTCATGTGTACCATCTCCTACTGCTTTAATGTTATTAATTAAGCTCAGCTACTGTAAATATAAAGATACAGAGAGTACCCTCATTAGTCGCTTGTCGAATCCCTCGTCTCGAGTAATTTCTACTAGTACAGTACAGTATTGTCATAGCTGTATAAATTGGGAAATCAAGCTCAATGATGTGCAAGCTGATATATAACTTTGCTTACAACTACTAAGAACCATATTTACATTCTAACAGTCATGGCAACCAAAAATGGTCATTTCAGGAAAAATGTCCACTAATGTCACAATTCTTACTTATTTTTATTTCCTGGTATATTAATTTTTAGAGTGAAATTCAAACCAACTATTTGAATTACCACGCCTGCATCATGATTCATGAATGGAAACAGTAAATGTTTACCTTAATATGATAAATACGAAGAAAAAAAGTGTAAATTGCATTTCTTACCTACAACATTCCTTAATCAACTACTAAGTCTATGAGATTAGACAATAATATCACAGCAAATTACAACAATCTAAAATCACCATGGCCACAAAATAGAACTTAGAGCTAACCATAAAAGTATGAGAATATGGGCTGTATGTAAATTAATTTCTGTAGTGATTTATCATAAAGTTTTCAAGCCTCAGAGTTTCATTGTGTACGGATTTTTGATGCAAAATAAATTACTGAAGCAGAAATCTCAGTGAAAATTTGTGATATGCATTTATGAGCAGTTGACAGCTGCAAATAAACTAAAGTTGAGTAACAATAAATTTTTGTTATGAATTAAAGCACAGCTTCAACACGAAGTCCAGCTCGTATTTTAAGGATGCCACCTTTAATGCCACTCTACCCAGGAGGTAAGAATAAAATGCTATAAATTACTAATGATGACTATTCTGGCAATTATAAAATTTCATTTTAGCATTTAGTGTCCTAAAGGGTTCAGGTTACCATATGAGAAGTACGTCGGCGGAGATGGAACGGTCTGGAGGCAGGAGGGTAGATACGGGACATTAAACACAGAGCAGACCCCAAGGCCAACCGATGAGTTGGTCCATCTCCATAGTCCACGGAATTACCAATGCCTCCACCAGGCAACTGAACCATCACGGTCAGCACTGCTGCTACTCCATCGTCTGTTGGTTCCACTGCTAGAGGTCCTACATTAAAGCCGTCTCTAAACTGATCCTTTTTGGCAGCCCTTTTCCGCCTACCTGGAGACCAAGGAGTTGGATCTGGGGGCATATCTAGGACATCCTGATTAAATTCCTCTTCTGCATGTAGCACTAATGTTGTATTTGCAAATGGTCGTCTGGCCATATGTTCCCTTTCCTGCTCGTTGCGTCGTCTGGTTCGTCTTTCGTCCACACCCTGTTTGATTTTCCAAACCACTACGCACACAGCAAGAAATAGGAAAAAGCAGGAAAAGAACACAGAAAAGAAAACAAACAGATCAATTCTTGGTTGATCTTGACGGAAGAAAATTGAGCCAAATGTATCCGTCACCTTTATACCTCCAATACCATACACAACTACATAAAATTTTGCACATCTCAAATCATGTTGATGTTGTGGAAGTGTGATTACTAATCTGTTACTAATATTTTTCACTATTAATATTTCATTAGACCTTGATACTGTTGCAAAGGTTTTCAATCCTTCTGCAACTTTTTCAATGAGACGATACTCCGTTACAGTTTGGTGTGTTGTATTTGCAACTAATTCCTTTGTCGGAGATATGGTATAGCTGCTAACATCATAGAGATCGAAACCTGTACCAACAAAATTCCTGTTCAAAGATGAAGTAAACATGATGGGTCCTGTTTCATCTGCTATGGAATAGCTCCTGTCAATTTCCACCTGCTGTTGGCCCGTGGTCTGGTTGACGGTGACAACAAATGTATCCTCTCTGGTGCTGAAGTACACATCTGCACCACCTTTTGTTATATCCAGAATTAGTCTAATGTCAACATTCATGAACTTTGGCTGTACAGCAAAAAACACAGTCTGACCTCGGCTGAGGGTACTAGGTTTGGTGTCGCAATCATTCTGGGTATATGGATCTAGACAGTATTCTTTGTCTACATTCATCTGCCTATAACACTGATGGCCATTACTTGGGTTGCCCAAATAAGAGTCTTTACATTTGGCACACTGTTGCTGCCAACAATATTTATCTTCTTCCTTTTCAGTACTGACTCCTCTTGTTTTGCCACTGCCTGCACATTGAGTATCTGTGTTATTGCCACAGTTGCATTCTGTGCCCCAAACTGGGTTACAGGTTGTGCCGTGCCCGTTGCACTGACATGGACGGCAGGGGTGGCTCATGTCCTCCACCCCTCGGAAGTAGCCCGGCAAGCAGCTATCACACTTTGGCCCTGTGGTGTTGTTGGCACACCCAACACAATATGCCTCTGTTCTTGCCCCTTCTGTCCCTTTTACAGCATTTATTATGTTTGTCTTGGTATCGCCAGGGAGAGTCAAATTGTACTTACTTACCAGTTCTTGGGGGCTGCAACTATTAGCATGCATGTTACAATACTCAAAACAACTTATACACTGCCCACCGTTCCGAGGATCCCCAACAAAGAGGGGTTTACATTTTTCACACTGATCACCCATTGTGTTATTAAAGCATTTCAAGCATATATCTAACTTATCTGGACCTTCACAGTTTGCATGACCATTGCAATTACATTTAATTGAGCAGTTAGTGCCCACAAAACCAAAATCACACGTGCAGTTATTAGACTCGACGCAAGTCCCAAAGACACAACCTTGAGAGCAGACTGGAACACAGCGACCATTTTCTGTCATGTTATACCCAGGCGCACAAATACATTCATATTCCTTGGGACGATCTACACACGTTTGACTCTTATCATTACATGTGTGATGACCATTCTTACACTCATCCTCAGGAGGGCAAGCATCATAATGCCAAGACACAGGGGGCATAACTTTTCTGCTTGCTGCAGGGTATAATCGAGCATTTTGACGGAGGTGATGAAGGGAGATGACTGAGGTGTTGGAGACAATGTCAGAGAAGTCCATGTTTTCACATGGGACACCATTAGGCCTTTCTAGCAAGCCTTCTGTGCACAGCCCTAACCCTCCCACCTCTGTATCTAGGGCACACCAGCCACAGTGCGAGTGGCTCAAACAATGAGAACATTGAGTAAAGTCCTCACAAGGACGTGGACATTTATCTTCGTCACCTGATAAAATGAGGCCACAAGTTCCACCTAAGCAGCGTAGTGCAATATAGCTAGGCCCAAGACACTCCTTTAGTGATGGTGACCAGTGACATTGCTGCCAGCCACCTTCACCACCTTTAGCACTTAAACAATCATGACAATTATTGTGATAATGGCAACGAACAGGACACTGGTTAGGCGGGGAAGATTCTACCACATGTGATGAGTGCCGCTGAATCATACTTTTAACACAATTCCAGTTATAAATTGGCTTAGCATGAAGGGTATAACATAGCTCAGATGAACGGAGGACTTGCTGGGTCCAGATGCACTTGAGGCTTCCACACTTGTCGCAATCAGAAGCAACACAGTTGCCCCCATGACATTTATCAGAGTCTGTGATGATATAACGACCAGATCCATCATCATCCCTCGTTTGAGAATCGCCGTCATTTTCTTGTGCACAATCACTATCACGGGGTATACACTTTCCTTTAGAGCAATTCAGACACCACTGGCAACGCTGTTCCGAATGAGGGTGAGCAGGCCATTCAGCTAAGCATTCCGTGCAGGATTTGTGTTGATAGCAGTCATGGTCTTCAAGCATTCTTGCATCACAACGCACACCCACCACACTACTCTTTCCATAACGAGGATTGCGGCAAGTGCTGGGCTCCTCTCCAGTGTTGGAGTAACAATAGGATGTGTTTGTACCTGAACTTTCATGCACCACACAGTTGGCACATCCAATGACATCGCGACACTGGGTTTGGTTGGCATTTAAAGTGCAGAGATCTGGTGGTATTTTTATTTCAACCATTGATCCTTGAAGAGTGCCAAAATAACCACCAAATAAGTATATGGTCAAGCCATATATTGCTGCACTAGTTCCAATAAGTGGGGTTATATCATGACCAACAAGTGTTATAAACTTATCATTGAGAGGAATCCACATGTTGCACTTAAATGAATAAACCAAGAGGCCCTGGTTTGAGTCCAGATGATCATTAATGTCACCTCCAATTATAACCATATAGTCCTTTGTTGTGACTGCCGAATGAAAGGTTCTTGAAGCCGGGAGAGACGCCGGATTAAGGTTTGTTCTACGATCTGGTGGAAGCACTGACCATTTCTTGCGAGTGTAGTCCAGTGCATAAAGGTCTGGAAAATGGTCAACTTTATCTACCTTAAAAGAATAACCACCATAGACATAAAATGTTTTTGCACCCTCGTGATAGACTGTACTGTGACCGTATATGCCAACAGGTATAGCACCACCTGTCTTCACCTTGTTCCACTGGCCATTACCCAAGTTGTATTCCCAGACACATTCCAAGAAACCATACTCTGATGAGGCTCCACCAATCAACACCAACGATTGTGATTCTGCATCACTGCGGTAAGTTAGAGAATGACCAGCCAGAGGTGGCAAATCAGGGTGAGGCTTCAACTCTTTCCAACTCTCTGAATCAATATTAAATTTCCAAAAGTCTTTTAAAAAAATAGTTTCATTCAACCCCCCATAAACATACATCTCTCTCTGATTTGGAACGTACGCAGCTGCGTGAAAATATCTACTAGGCGGCGGCTGGCGTCCAGGCTGCACATTAACAGTCACCTGCTGCCAGACGTTGCTGCTGTTGTGCGTGTCAAACTGCTGAATGTCGTTCAGTGGACCTCTTGACAATGAATACCCACCAAATACCCAGAGTGATCCTCGATGATCCACAATAAGAGAATGTCCCATGCGTGGCAGTACAGTTGTGAGGTGGGAATATGATGATGCAATTTTCTCTGGAGCAAACAGCTGTGTCACTACCACCTGTAAACAAACAAAAATTTAATTACTTTTCAGAAGCAAAGGCAAAAATTATTTTTGTTTTATTAAACAAAATAATTCTTTTGATATTTGTATTCAGTACTAAAAAAAAAAATTTCTATTGAGTCTTGCCAGGTAATGTTATAAGCAAAAGTCAAAAGTGGAGATACATCTCAAAAGTAGAGGTATGTCTCAATAGTAGAGATACACCACAATAGTGAAGAAATATCTCAGCAGTGGAGATATATCTCAATAGTATAGATTTATCTCAATAGTGGAGATAAAAAATAAAGCTAACAGCCATTTGTACCATTTCTCACACATTGACAATTAGCACCACAATGGAACAAGAACAAGATGAGTACTCATCTGCAAAAAGTATTTTCAAGCCACAAACGAAAGAAAAGTGACAGTGAGTGAGATTACAAAACAGAACCAAAGTGGAGACCAACACACACACTCTGGAGGGCACTGTTATCACTGAGGAGGAAATATAAAGGTGCAAAATCTCAAATGAAGCTATGGGCAACAAAGGCAATGGAGCCAGAGCAGACATCCCCAGCATTGCCAAAAAATCTTGCGAAGGGGACTAAATGCAAAGGGGACATGGGTTTGCAATCTGCTAAATTAAGTTTTGCTATCTTCAAAAAGGAAATATGGATCCATCTACAGAAAAAGAAATGGATGGACACAGTTAAGAGCCTAACTCCAAACCCGTACTCGAAGCCACCTGCAGAAGCCTCCTGGTGCCAAAAAAATTGCACTAGAAGTGTTCCACATGAATACAGGAGGAACAAACATGGTAAGAGTAGGCTCCTGCACTCCAGTTGACTCTACAAGTGCAGTGCCCGGAGCTGTTAACACCAGCACAAACCGTGCTGGCACTTGAGAAGCCTTGATTCCAAGTCATTTTGGCACCTTTATTAGCAGATATTTTGAGGAGGAACGAGCAGCAGTCAAACAAGACGACCACCGGCTACACAAGGAGAAACAGCCAAGGTTGGTTTGAACTTGGAACAAGTGTCTGAGAGCAAAGCCTTAAAACTGTATAGTTCCATGCTAACAATAGTCAGCAACTGTAAATGAGCCCCTGCCTGATGAGCTGCTTCCCATGAGGGAGGCTTCCCTACACACACACACATCCAACAACGACACATAGCACACTCGAGGCTGCAAGAGCCATCAGTGTCATAAAACACAGCCAAGCAGCCTGGAAAGCTGCTCATGGCAAACAGACTCTGGAATGGGTGGAGGATTCATTGCAACCTTACCAGATATGAAGTAAATAAATAGTCCTGAAGCTTGGGTACTGGGCTGTCCAGTTTGAACAAGACAATGAGCAGAACTGCCAGGTGCAAGAGCGAGCGTCCACAGGTGCCATACACCAAAACCCATCATCTTTCAACAAGAAAAGGCAGAAGAAGCAACAGAAAGAATGGAATGATCACTTAGCATGATTCTTAATTAAGCACAAACCCAACTGAACGTACAAGAACCCAACACTCATACAAACCAGAACCAAGTGCAACAAGAACAACCAGTTTCCTTTTCAAAGAGCCTTGCCTTGGTATTGAAATCCAAAAGTACTATCCAGATTAGGGGCGACTCGACAGGCGTTTCCCCAAAGGAGGAATGCTGGAAATCTCAAAGTACTGTAGTTCCAGATATATTTAGCATTTAAGATACATAATGATATGGCACTAGAATGTTAAGTACTGAACTTTACATGTACTGAACAGTATGACTGCAATTCGGCAAACTATATGGACTAGGCCCGCTTTGTTTCTTAACCACTGGACTGCGCCAACCGAGAAAACTCATTTTGATTTTTTCGTACCCATTCAAAATGTGTGCGCAGTTGATTGTGTACGAAATGGACACTTAGGACCTCCAGTGAGAGGTAGCCATCTTGGAAAAAATTCCCAGAATGCCATAGGGCTGCTGGCTGGGTTAGTACTGAGTGAGCAACCATGGGTGGCACACACACCTCAGGCTCCCAAACACCTGTCCGACGTGGTGTTGAAAGATCGCAAGCTGTCGGTGAAATTCAAACCTTATTGTTTGAAGAACATAAGGGCATGATATTGGTGAAGCTAGGCGCAATAAGAACCTAACACAAAGGTCGGATGCAAGTTATACAGCAGCTATGAGGACGATACAGTGAGCGTATCCAGTTGTAGCTCTGAGCGCCACCCTTGCCCACCTATGCCATCTCTAATTTACATAGATGATACATAGATGAATCGTTTTCTGTGGTCAGTGATGATGCATCTGATACAAATAGCATAGATGAACAAACAGTGTTAGCAGCTTCCATGGTGGTGTTTTCCATAGATATTTTAAAAAATAGTTGAATCTCTTCCAGACTGACTGACACTTTGAGGCTGGCTGAATCTCTTCCAGAATGCCTGAATCTCTCTTAGATTGATGGACACTCTTCGAGGGTGGCTGAATCTCTTCCTGTGTGGGACCTTACAAAGCGATCTTTTCAAGGCTATCTTACAAATTGATCTTTTCCTATAATCTTTTCAATACTACCTTATGCTTTACAAGCTTGGCTACATACCACCTACAAGTACTAAAGCCAAGGGTGTATGTGTGCGCTATTTGCAAGCACACAGAATGAAGAAACAGTAAGCGAAAATCTATCTGTATCTGTTGCAACGAGAGCGAAGTCACGCTGTGTACCATGGACTGTTTCGTTGATTATTACTCACTTCCAAAGTACTGAGTACTCACCTAGTTGTACTCACCTAGTTGTGCTTGCGAGGGTTGAGCTCTGGCTCTTTGGTCCCGCCTCTCAACTGTCAATCAACAGGTGTACAGGTTCCTGAGCCTATTGGGCTCTATCATATCTACACTTGAAACTGTGTATGGAGTCAGCCTCCACCACATCACTTCCTAATGCATTCCATTTGTCAACCACTCTGACACTAAAAAAGTTCTTTCTAATATCTCTGTGGCTCATTTGGGCACTCAGTTTCCACCTGTGTCCCCTAGTGCGTGTGCCCCTTGTGTTAAACAGCCTGTCTTTATCAACTCTCAATTCCCTTGAGGATCTTGAATGTGGTAATCATGTCCCCCCAACTCTTCTGTCTTCCAACGAAGTGAGGTTTAATTCCCGTAGTCTCTCCTCGTAGCTCATACCTCTCAGCTCGGGTACTAGTCTGGTGGCAAACCTTTGAACCTTTTCCATTTTAGTCTTATGCTTGACTAGATATGGACTCCATGCTGGTGCCGCATACTCCAGGATTGGTCTGACATATGTGGATTTTGACATATGAAAAAATAATTTTTTTTTTTGAGTGTGTAATACAGTGTGTTATTGTGTAAATAGTGTGTGAAACTGTATATATTGTAATTTTAGTGAATTTTTAACAAGTAATATTGCAACAATAAACATTTATTGTGGACACATTACTGACACATGTATCACAGTTCCATGGAACATTATGAACGTTCTACTGTATACATATTGTAAAGGACACAAATATGCATCATATACGATAAAAAACAAATAAAACTGCATTGGAAATACATAGAACAAATAATTGAAAATATATTTGTGGCAACACTCGGTGCTTGAATGGCCCGTGTGACCGTGTCTGGGCGAGTCATGCACGGGCAACCAGGCCCTAATGGCGTCACAGCGCACCTTGTCCACGTCCCCACAGCCACAGTAAGTGGAATTTTGTATTTATTATTTTACATAGACATGTTCAGGGAAGGGAATTTATCATTTTACAAAGAAAAAATAATTTTTTGGGAACACTTGATTTCATGCGCACAGGGGGAATTTCACAATAAACTCGGCGCATCACAGTGGTTAAGAAACTGATTAAAGAAAATCTAATTCTGAATCTGTCCACATTTTGTTCTTCATTCCTGCTCTCTCTCTCTTTTCCTTCCCTTTCTTGTTTCTAAATCTCTGTTTATTTCACACTTTCACTTATGCTACAGGATGCTGTAATAAGGTCCTTCATTCAGCTAAAATCAGCTCTTGAAAGTTATTTTAGAGTTACCTATTGGCCACAATAAAGAAGAATAATGTTAAGAATGCTGTGTTATATACTACACCAACTGAAAGTATTCTTAAGGATGACACAACTCAAGATATTTCAAGTGAACACAACTGATATAAAACAGCATGAAAGTAACTGGCAAAATACAGACGAGAAGAAATTACCAATAAATAACTTGTCTGAAATGCTGTGTGTATTAGTGGCTTTAGGTATTGTGTATACATGTACTAGCTCCATCTAGAAATCCAACATTCTGTTTTTAACTCATTTTGTATGTATGTACTTTTACTTTATTAATAAACATTATTATTATTATTATTATTATAACTGTTAAACTGTTATTACCTGATGATCACGCTGGACAATGCTACAATCTTCTCCAACGAAGCCATGTGTGCAGATGCAGCGCCCATAACCAGAGTCACATTTGCCTCGTCCTTCAGTTTCAGAGCACTTGTTAGGACAGACAGGAATGTCACAGTGAACTCCACGCCACTTCTCATCACAGACAAGCTTTCCGTTAGAACATACCCGGTTGTGTCCTGCATTTTTCACGCAACGTAAAACCTGATAACTGGCATTAAATCCTTGTCCAGGGTCATTTTTTTCGTAAAATACAGTCATAAACCCAGAGACAGCCTGTACAGTCACAGGGTACGAAGACTGACTTGCACAGAAAGCTCCCACGATGTAATTTTGCCGGTCCCAACGGTTATTACTTGAAACAAAATTTGGCAGTCCATCATATACATATAAAATTCCTTCTCCACACTGTATGTTAATTTCTTCTATAGTTAGCTGAATAACGTATGTTCTGAAAGAGATACCAGTCCATATTACTTAATTGCAGAGTGAGAGGTTTAGTAAATCACACATTTGCAGTGGAAGGTAATCGACAGACAAGAAAGTTAATAAAGAAGAAATGTTATTAAGACAGTAAGGTGTACATTGTTTTTAAAGACACTGAAGGAAACATAGAATACAGTGAAGGCAAAGATAACTGAAGGTTGTGAGGCTGTATGCAGTCACAAATGATAGCTGTTAAATGCAGTGTATTTTCTTAAGCAAGGACATCTTATATATATAAGTTGGGACAGCACTGTTACTGGTTTTATATAAACAAGTGTACAGTAACTGGTCAACGTTCCTATAAATCTTGTTTCTATATCTCTCTATCTATTTATTTATAATATAAATATATATATATATATATATATATATATATATATATATATATATATTATACAAAAAAAATGGCATTAAGATAAATCAGCCAAATGCAGTATTAAAGAGAATGAGCTTCATACATGTAGAAATTAATACAATATACCAAACCTGATGCATGCAAATAACATAGTCAAGGTAGCAAACAAGAGATATGTCTCGCATGATCCACAGTTTTGTCGAGTGTATGGAAAGATGGATGAAAATATATGCAAGTAAATGCAAGTTAATAGTAAGCAAGAAGGAAATGCTAAGAAAGAGCTATAAACCAAATGAACAGGTTAATTACCTCTAATGTGTGATTGATGAAAGAGGAATTGGTACAAGAGTATGGTTGGTCAAGGAAACAAAGCGGATTGTGCATCTAAGCTCTGGTTAGATAACCGAGACAAGAAAATATACAGCGAGAGGGCTTCTTGAGGTTATCTTGAGATGATTTCGGGGCTTTAGTGTCCCCGCGGCCCGGTCCTCAACCAGGCCTCCACCCCCAGGAAGCAGCCCGTGACAGCTGACTAACACCCAGGTAACTATTTTACTGCTAGGTAACAGGGGCATAGGGTGAAAGAAACTCTGCCCATTGTTTCTCGCCGGCGCCTGGGATCGAACCCAGGACCACAGGATCACAAGTCCAGCATGCTGTCCGCTCGGCCAACCGGTTCTCCCTATCTCCTCCCGGGGCTGCCTGAAGGAGTCGTAGCGCGAACCTATATGTATGCTTGCAAGATGAGGGTGTAGCATTAGCGTGAAAATCCAAGAGTCAGAGCAGTAGACATAGATCATCTGAAAAGCACGCGCTGTGGTAGAAGATTAAGAGAGGAATAAATATATCATGGAGAGATATTCTTCATCCCAATGCTCAATAAACTGCAAGAGTGGGGAAAACCCAATGAGATAGTTTGGGCAGTGTTGAATGTACAGTGTTGTATTCATGTGAATTTGAGGATAGGAGATAAAGAGGAAGGTCGTGATGAACATGGGCGAACATGGCGAGTGTGGGGTAGAAGTGGGTAGCGATCGTGAACGATACATAGGGTACTGTAAAGGGACAAGTGTGAACAATGCATGGGATATGGCAAGGGGACAAGTGTGAACAAGCCATGGGATATGGCAAGGGGACAAGTGTGAACGATGTATGGGATATGGCAATGGGACAAGTGTGAACAATCCATGGCATATGGCAAGGGACAAGTGTGAACAATGCATGGGATATGGCAAGGGGACAAGTGTGAACGATGTATGGGATATGGCAAGGAGACAAGTGTGAACAATCCATGGGATATGGCAAAGGGACAAGTATGAATGATCCATAGGATATGGCAAGGAGACAAGGCTGGGTAAAAGTAGTTCGTAAAGAGCAAATGTATTTGTTCACACTATTCATTACAATTCAGAGGGAGTACTGCACACCTGGACTCATGAAGCAGTGCATTATACTGATGTGGATGACTCCTAAAGTATGCTAGTGGAGGTTTTCCAGTGATGCTGTACAATTTGACACAAAAATATATATGAGTGATAGATTCATATTTTGTAACATGTATAACCATTCATTATATTAGTTATCAGTTTTTTTTCCAATGTTCTGAACCAAAATGTGGTCCCTTTCCTTTCTTTTTACATGTATGAATCAGATAACAAATTTCAGAATGTTAATGTGACCGACTCTCTGCATACAATGTACAGTAATCTCGATAAAATGAACTGTGATACAACAGACATCTTGGTAGACTGGAAAAAATTGGTTACCAGAACAAATAATTAAGACATGGAACAGTGTGTCCAAATGACCAATGATGCCATATCATCACCCCCAATACTTTGCAGTACTAAAACCCACTCAGTGACATTAACATGGCTACCAACCACATTAGCCTAGCTACTTGCTGCACTAACACTCCGTGTAATAAATTATTATATTTATTTTTTAATGCATTCTAGAACTCAATGTGCAACTAGATGGATACAAGAATGATACACGTCACCTCATATCGGAGTATAAATCATGGGGGATGGAATCGGGTAGCAAGATACAGATGATTACAAAAATATATACATACACACATGAGCACAACTCACCCAGTTTGTATGGTGGAAAGGGGCTCCAAAGAGTCACTGGAGGTAATTATCCACATGCAGGTAGCAAGTGACTCTAATCCAGTTGTCTGTGCTCCCAGGAAACCCGTTGTTGCTTCGTACAGAATATTCCGTGCATTACACTCTCTGAAGCAACGTCCTCCATTACGTGGATCACCATAAAACCCTAAAAAGTAAGTCATGAATTTTGTTTATTTTATGGCATCGTATTTCAGTCAAAAATACACAAAATTAGCTATACTATAAGTTTTCTATTGCAATAGATTGCAACGACTTATGCCAGAAGAAAATCCTCACAGTGCATCCAGACTTCCCATAGTCCAAGACCAAAATCAGTGTTAGATAATCTGGTGGTGTTAAATAAAAACCCTTTGTAAAATTGTACCCCAAGGTGTATTTCTTGTCCCATGTAGATAGAACTGATTATTATTGCTATACAGACACCTGCATCTTCCCATTATTTATAATAAAGTAAGAGAGGGTGTTGTTAGCGATACTCTAGGGTATGGCTTTCAATCTCATACCTTACTGTTATGACCCTGGGTTCCTCAATTGGAAACCAGAGGTCAAATTGAGCTAAATAAACTACCTTATAGTAGGGGGACGCATGGCGAGGTGTATTTGTCTGTATCTTTCCTGCCAGACGTAAGACGATTCTTGTTTCTTAAAGAGCATTTAAAGACTGAGCATGGGGTTGATTATTAAGTAAATAAATAGGCATCAACTATGTTTACATATGATTAGAAAGTATTAAAGTAGATCTGAGTAAATTTGGATATAGGGCTGCTGTACGATTAGTTGGGTAATCTGCCGGCAGCAAGGCAGCTGAGGAAGGAGACTGGAGACGGTCTGCCTTCTCTGGGCTGGCGTTGTGGTGAAAAGAACTTCCTCCTCTACCTCTTGTCTCTCTATTTCTGTGTCTAATTACCAAGATAAGCATACTGTATTGTGTCCACATTGTCTGGCATAGGCGTGTTCTAATGTGTAGAGTATTATACTTTGTATGAATTAGGTGTTCCTAGTGTTTATATGGCTAGTTATTCTAAAGGGGTCCCAGTGGAACCATGTGGCCTCCCTACCCTAAGCTGACTCAAGCTTCAAGTTCTTCACTAGTAGTACTTTACCCTAACTTGTTCTCAGTGTAAACCTTGTATCCTGCTTATGTGGACCAAGGCTTTTAACGTAAGATAGTGTGGTAAAGTAATTATTGTTATTGGTGTGAATGTACATGGGGGGTTGTTAAGGGGTTAATAAATAAGTAAGTTAGTTAAAGGAGTATCCATTCTTCCTGTGTAGGAGATCTATGATCAACCTCTAGATTGACATTATCTGGTAGCTAATTAATATTCACTGTTGTTATTTTTATTTGGGGGCCGGGCCCTACTGATCTCCACTGCTAGAGATACATCTTTATTCTAAATACTGCCCCTACATCCATTTAATACTAGATCCCCCCATAGAACACACTCATATTTATAACACTTACACCGACGATCAAACCCCACAAGCACAACTAGGCGAGTACATGAAAAACCCTAACACATTTGGGTTTATTATACTACTATATAAGCTATACTATAAACTACTAAAATTATACTACTAAAGATCACGGAGTATTTGGAGAGTATCACAGCAATAAGACCAACTGACTAACAAACGATACACGGGATATGGATAAACGTATCATACTGCATTGAAGCAGCACGAAAGAATCAAACCAGCATCTCCAAACTCTTCATACATACATACATGTAGGTTCAAGTCCATAGTATGGCCTCAATAGTGATTTATAGCTTCATCTCTTTCTTAAAATTGTAATTGTGAACGGACTCACCTGGCAAGCATCGTTGACAGTTGTGTCCCTGGGTATTATGGATACAGAAGCACTGGCCAGTGGTCTTATTACACTGTCCCAGTGTAGCATCCCAATGATCATTACAGTTACACTCCTGACACCCAACTGTTGTGGCATTTCCAAAGTATCCTGGCCTGTAAAATAGAGGGATGAACTTGTATATATAATTTAACAATCATATAACATGAAACTGGATTTATTCAAAACATTATTAAATACAGTAACTTAAAATGCATAAAAATAATAAACTAATCTATTTAAACGTTAACCTGAAAGTGCGGTTATTATCGTATGTTGATCCCTGGAATAATGTTATCATTTTATGTTGATTTTTAAGTTATCACCATATGGTTCTCATACAAATGATGTAAATATGGTTATAGTACACTTATATGGATATAATGAAGTTGACCCATACCTATGAAAAACACTTCTATGATTTTTAATTTCTTATTATAGACAAGCTCCACCAGCAAGGCAATTTTGGTTAAATCTTAATTTTGTGTTTCCCGCCAGTGATTTAATCTATTTACGGACGACATTGCCAAACAGTATAGCAGCAAATCAGTGGGATGCAAGACACTTCCTTTGAGCTGTGCCAAGAACAGATTTACATGCAATATATATGTGTACATACTATATTGTGGATCTATGTACAGTATTCGAATAACCTTTATTGTCAATTATATGTAAACATTTAGTTCCTCCATACATTGTGTAAACTAAAAGGAAATGGCAAACATATAAACCCCTCCCCACCCCTAACATAATCATCACAACTCACTGCTTGAACAAATCCACAAGGGCCCTAATGAGGGTTCGAACCTACGTCTGGGATGATCCCAGGTGCGCCTTAGTCGACTATGCCACGACATGGTAAAAGAACTGCATCCTGGAGTGCTACTGCCCTCACAAGGCTCCCGCAGCTTCTCCGAAGCACAGACCAGGGTTTTACACAATTCCCCCATGCACCCAGGCTGTCAACCAAATGTTCTACCTCTTCGCCCTTACTTCAATATTACTTGAGGATTTGTTCATGAGTTCACTGCTTGATTTGGTTTCTCAGCAAATAAATCTTGCCACCACCGACAGATCAAATGACCCCATGACTTGGCAATCTCTCAGTACAGTATGTACAAAACACCAGCGCTGAGTGTAATGAAACACCCCCTTTAGGAAGGGATGGTTGGGGCTTCGGTAGCTTCCTGTTGTTAGCGGCACTAAGACAGCTCTACACTTTTAAGTCACATTTGCTCTGCAAGTCATTAAAAAGTTTAGCAGGAACCCGAGGGTCAAAACCTGGCTCTCTCAAAGAGTGCAGAGAGCATGGGATTAATGATCATTCTCTCCTAAGAATCAAACCCCCCAGAAAGGAAGCAAAGCTAAACAAACTACTGTACTCCAAAGTTGACCGTAGGTAAACAAACAATGCAGCAAATGACCTGCCAAATGCTCCATCCCGTAGTTAGTTTCCTTCCCCCTAGTTGATCACCGCCTAGGGAAGAGGTTACTACCTGACCACCACCAGGTGGCAGCACCATCTGGGGAGGAAGGTCACCACCTGACCACCACCAGGTGACAGCACCACCTGGGGGAAGGTCACTACCTGACCACCACCAGGTGGCAGCACCACCTGGGGAGGAAGTTCACCACTGGAGCTACATGCTCCCCATGTCAACTGTTACTAACTACTAATTTTTTTTCACCCTCCTCCCCCAGGAAGCAGCCCGTAGAAGCTGTCTAACTCCCAGGTACCTATTTACTGCTAGGTAACAGGGGCATCAGGGTGAAAGAAACTCTGCCTATTGTTTCTCGCCAGCTATGGGACTGAACCCTGGTCCCTAGGTCCACAAGTCTAGAGCGCTGTCCACTCAGCCATCCAGCCTCCCAGTGTGGAGCATTCTATGTCTGCCATCGACCGGGTCAGGCACCAAGAAAGGTAGGCACCCCAAAACAAACCCTTACTCTGGTTAAAACTACTACAGAAAACTAACAAGTAAGCAGAACTCCCTAATTGAAAAACGAGCATGAAGTCACACTTGCTGCGCTGCTTGTCTGCGCATCTCCTCCCCCCCCCTCCCCAGGAGGGGAAAGGGGGTAGCGCTAGATTCATCACGCCGGCTATCCACCTGTCAGTTCAAGGCTGGATGTCAAACCACGCAAAAAACCCCAACCGCAGGGAGGGAGGGTTGCCAGGGTGCCTCCAGATCTCACCCAGAAGATGGCGTTTCATTACATTCAACGTTGGTTTTCTGGGGGCAGCCCCTTCGACTCCCCGGAGCTACCTAGCCACAGCCAAGGACAAAAGAGGGAGAAACCCGGGAGGTGGAAACCCCACACCTAAAAATGCCAAAGCAAGACAACAGGCAACACCAAAAGGACCCCGCAGACGACTTGGGAGACCCGAACCTCAGAACAGGGACGAAGGGGAACCCCAGACAACTCAAAGAGCGTCCAGGGCCACAGAGGCCACGGCACGTAGGCAATAGCTGAGAGCCACAACCGGACACAAGAAGATGCACCTCCAGCCAAAACCAACCAAGCAACAATCCCAGGAACACCTTCCGGAAAAACAGCCGACCAAACCTCACCAGAAAGAGAAGAACGGCTGCAACAAACAAACCGAACACTGGAATCGAAAGGAGCAGAAACCTCTGAGAAACAATCCAGAACCGATGGGGCCACAACCAACTGAGGGAAAGAGATAAGACCATCATGTCCAAAGACCAAGATGGCTCAGGAGGCGCATGAGCAGGCCAGAGGTGAAACAACGCTCTGGACAGCTTGTGAAACGGTGCAGAAGGAACATCAAAACAGACAAGAAAAGATGCAGTCACTGAAAAAGTAAAGCAAAAGTTACTGAAATTCGGGGCTATGCCCCACAGTGTAACAAATAACAATATACTGTATATGGACATATTAAGATTATGTTATGGTGCACGAAAAGTGGCCAATCAACATAACACAAACAATACCCAACACTCATCCAAAAATCGAGAACCAGAGCCTGGCTGACGGTGTCGCCAGACCGTATAATCTCTCCTGAAGAGCGTAGGCACTATAGTGTCACAATACAGCTTAACCATGTAATAGTCTGGGAGTTGTATGTGCAGTAAGGTCGCGGAACACCAACACATGATTACTCCGTCCATAAACAAACAAACTCCCTCGTGCCATGCTCAGGACGCATTAGGTCCGAGATGGCTCAACCCCTCTCTTGGGGAGGGTAGCCGACACTGTTTATTTAACAATTATTATTATTATTGCCAAGACAGATGACGGAGAGAAGATGTGAATATAAAATATTCAGATATAGTATGGAAAGAGGATAAGTAGTATAGAAGAGGACCGAGTCCCAGAAAGGACAGGAGGTAATCCTCACCGGAAATTGACGGATGTTCCAATAATGTGTGAAGTACAGTATCAAAGTTCTTCGAGACCTTGGATATGGTACAAGCATCTTCCATAGACCCAGTTGAGAACAGGACCCAAGGCCCTCTGCGGTCGGAACAGGACTCAACTCGACAGTTTTCTAGACCTTTTACCCACCTGCGAGTAGGTTTCTGCATACCCCCATAAATGTGTAACCCACCCCTGGGACTATAAATAAACCGGGATCCCGATGGTTAAGTCACTCAGCAGAACTTTCCGGACTGAAGAGTAGAGGGCATACAAGCCCCACGAAACAGTCGACTGTCAAACTCTGCAGATGATTCTCCCGGCGTACCTAACCTACTCAGGTACCCGGGACAGGTGGGCCAACAGGTAAGTTTCTCTGTACAGTGGTGGGGGGAGGGAGATGAGGTTGAGTAGAGGCCCATCACCTGTAAACCTCAACACCAAAATCAACTCGTACGCAGAGGAGAGGAAGGAAAACCCCCACTCCATTTAATAGTAAGCCCCACTCAAAGGGCAGAAAACCCAGGTGGGGTCCAATGGGGCAAAAGACCTCCACACCAGCCCCCCTCCCTCTAACCCTGGAAACCTCTATACCAGAACCCGGGGCCAAATCATCCTCTAAAGCCCCGGTCTCAAAAGAAAAAGCCGGGCTAGTCACAAAACACCACTGGTCAGGGGAAAGGGGGCCCACTGGTCAGACCCATATGCAACGGCTGGAGGAACCGACTTGAATGACTCTGTCGCCACCTCGGAACGGGCAAACCCCGAAACTGGCCGAGGCTCAGAATCCTCTAAATCCTCTAAAATTCTAAATCCTCAGAATCCTCTAATCCTCAGAATCCTCTAATCCCCACAGACGCTCCGGTGCTGGAAGCAAGGGCGGGGGAAGGGGGGCAACAGAATGAACCACAGCAGGGGAAGAACGAGGGGGTGTGGACGGAACCAAGGCCAAAACAACCAAGTCCAGGGCCCGACAAGCAAACCAAGGCAGTCTTCGGGCATACAGGGGAGCAATCAACCAAGCACATCACAGTAACCTAAACCAAGCATGCAACGCCTGAGCTGCCTGCACCCAGATAGTGTCATCATGGGATTGGGTGAAGCGAGTCACAAATAAGCAATAATGCTTGCAGGATTCCAGGTCGAAGGTGTCACCGACCCAACAGGCAGCATGACTGAGGCAAAAACAATGAGCATCGCCCTGAGACAAGGGGACAGAGCAACCCTTAAACTCGCACAAGGAGAGAGGGGACCCAGGGGTCACAACCATTGGACCCCTTGCACCCCTGCAGAATTTCCCAGGGCCCTTAGACTGTTATCGTTAAAGGTAAGCCCAGGCAGAATACTACTAACCGGCACCCAAGTCTACCAAACAAACTTCTTAAACTGAACCCCCGGAATTTGTCCACTCACGGGGGCTAAGCAGGGGCTACCACCGAAGAAAGGAGGTCAAGACCCCTAGGATAACTGAGGGTAGGGGAACAAAAGCAGCAACCCCCCCCCCCCACCAGGCACAAACAAAAATGAAAAGAAAAACTCCGCAAGAGGACAACTTACCCAGGAGAAACAGAACTGGCCACTGTAATAGGTGAAAACTAACTGTGCAGTACCCCGTGCCCCTACCAGTGGAAAAACTACCACTTACCCCAAGGTAAACAAGGGTGGAACCCCCCCCAAAGACACTCAGGGCTGTCAATCACTGAGCAGCAAAAGACCAACAGAGGTAGACCCCAAGGTGACTTGAGGAAGAGAATCCCAAGCCCCAATGTTGGTACTTACAGAACACTCAGGGAAGGGAACCTTAAGCACATGCAGCCTAAGTACCTGAGAATATTACTCCCAGCTCGCACACCACCGTAAGAGCCGTACTGGACACAAGGCCCAGCACAACACAAAAAGAATCTGGAACTGGAGCTACAATCACATCAACCGAGAAACTGACAAGTGGATCGCTGGCGTGATGGGTCTGGGGCTCCCCCTTCCCCCTCCCGTGGAGGGGGGAGCTGTGCAGACAAGCGGCGCGGCGAGTGTGACGTAATGCTCGTTTGCTCGTTTTTCAATTGGGGAGTTCTGTTTACGTGTTAGTTTTTTGTAGTAGTTTTAACCAAATTAGGGGTTTGTTTTGGGGCACCTACCTTTTCTGGGTGCCTGGCCCAGTCGATGGCTAACATAGAATGCTCACACACATGTGCATTTCTATAGGCCACTGCTTCTCGTGACTCTCTGAGGGGGCCAGGTTCTGGCTTGTGGTCCCTGCTAGGCCTAGAACTCCATTCACACTTACTGATGCCAAAGTCTAATAATATACATATCAGCCTGGATAGCTCTTGGGAGCCGAAGAGGCTCACCCTAGAAAACACAAATGGGCAAATCACCATTAAAAGAATAAAAGTAAAATCAGTAGACCGAGGCTCTAGCTAAAACAGAAACCTAGTACACCCCAACTGTTGCAGGCCTCGGGGCAGAAGGTAATACCCACTCCTACTGGCAGCATAACAGAGGCAGTAGAAATTACCATTGACACATAGCTAATTCACGAGAATTCACAAGAAGCTGGTGTGGGCTCGGTGGACTAGCTACAGGCAGCCACCATTCAGCCCTTTCTGAAAACTCCCTCAACCAAATTCTAATTTCTTCTTCACAGATTGGCTTCCTCGTATTCAAATCTGTACCCTTGATCCTGCCACTGCTGTACTGTCCTGTTGCACTTTCCAACTTCCTTACACTTTCTAGGTAGCTTCTTGTTTTCAAAGAACTGATGATTAATGTGTCTTCCTAACTCAATTTTTTTTTGCCTATTAATCTTTTCAGATAGCCTTTACTCTCATATTTTTTGCTTTTCTCTTATTTTTCCCATTCAATTTTCATCCACAAAGTTCACTCTTTCTTGTCTTCAAGTCTCTGCTGGCACTTCTACATCCCACTAAGCACTTCTCTCACTTTCCTTTTTACCAAATGAAATTTGCTTGTGACTAGCCTCATGAAACTTTGCAGGGTGACTGGTGGGTATTGGAAGGGAATTGTCATAAGTAGGTTGAGGTCAGCTCCCAGGGCAACCCCCATGAAGTCAGCAGATGAAACGTTCGGCATCGATTCCACAGTTTAATCTGTTCATAATACTATAGAATTCAGATATTGACAAGCAAAATGCAGAGTCTGACAGGAGATTTGTATTCTGAGAACTCCCCAATTGGCATTAATTGTTGGTGGTTGACCCGGGTACCATTTGGTACCCCATCAAGTCCTTTATAAATAAACACTCTCATAATAATTTATTAAAAATATACTCACTGACAGAACTGACAATACTCCCCATCTGTCCCATCTCGGCACTGGTCACAGATGCCAATCCCTTTTTGACATGTTGAGTGATTATGACAGCCACAGTTGGTGCCACAGTCTGGCTCCATCCAACCAAGGTTGCACACACATTTATATTCAGGATGGCCGGAGCAGTAGCCATGCATACAACTCTCAAAGCACCTGAAATATACATAATGAGCTTTAACAGCAATATCCATGAACACCAGCTCTACACTACTATACAGTACTGCAAATGTGCTGAAATTCAAAACCAAATCTAAAAATGCAGTTTCTGCAGTAATACAAAATGTATAGACAACTGTTGAGAGTACGTCACAATAACATGGCCAAATATTAATACCCCAACCCACATATGATAAGAAAAAGTGACGAAGCATCCGTCCATCCCGGACCCTTATGGGTGTCCTGAACGAACTGAAATGTCATCACTTTCTTCCTTTTCATGTGTGTGCCTTGGATTATCACCTAATTTAAAATAAAGACCTATGAAACTACATAAGTATCAGAAAACTTTAATAAAATATCAAAGAAGATTTCAGTTCAAAAAGATAATTTCATATTTTGACACATACGTTCTTTCGCAAGTGTCGTGCCCATTTCCACGAAAGCCTCTGTTACAGGTGCAGTTGAAACCTGGGTGTGTGTTGGAGCATGTGGCATTGGGATGGCAATCATGAAGCAACAGCTTGCATTCATCAACATCTGGACACAATGCATAGGCCCAATTACTCTCGGAAACTTGCAGGTCCACTACAACTGATGTGTTTTCAAGGGCAGCGTGAAGCATGGGGTTGATAAGGCTGGCACAATCTCCTGTAACAATATACAGTAATATAATACCTGCATAAATCACTGACATATGAAGTTTCTAAATCTAAATCTAGATTATACAGTACATAGCCATGATTTTGTCTTGTGCTGTTATTATGATTTTCTCTTATGTAATTAATGTACAGTAGTTTTGTGTATAATCGATAATAAATGTTCAACAATAAACCAGCGTTAAATGTAATGAAACGGCAGTTTCTGGCTGAGCCCCAGAGGCTCCCTGACACCTTCCCTCCCTCTCTCTCTGATCGGCGGCTTTTATCACTCAAGAACTGTCCAGTGGCGGCCCGGCTCATCTGGGCCGGTTCCACCTGGGTGGAGCTAATGAGCTTCACTAAGAGTCCAAGCTGTCAATCAAACTGACAGCTGGCTGAACGAAGTTTTGCTTGTTTTTCTTCTTTATGGGGAGTTCTTTTGCTCTTTTGAGGACGTAGGTCACAATTTTCAACCAGGCAGTAGTCTGTTTTGATTCGCCTATCTTTCTGGGTGCCTTCCCTGGTCAATGACAAGATGATAAACTTTAAATATAAAGTATTGATGTGCCCTTGCTCCCTGCCACTCTCTGAAGGGGGCCAGGTTCTGGCTTATGGTCCCCGGCAGGTTACAAGAACTCTGCGACTGATTACTTCAAGTAGTGTGGCACTTCATCAGTAAAATAACTTCAGGGAGCCGACAGGGCTTCCCACAGAATTTTTTTTATTTGGTTGATTAAATATCCTCAAAGATACTTAGGATCTTTATTTTCTTGTCACATTACTGTATCTATAATTAACAAACTCTGACATTATTCTTCCAGTTATATAGAGAATAGCAAATAATATTACCCAATATTTTAAAGTCACTTGACACTTTACTTCCTTTTCTATTTGTTATTCTAGCTTTACTCTTGCATTGCATAAGGGTTACGTAAGCATTATCTGCAGGCACACAGCAAAGACAAGACTTTTGTCTCCCTATATATTGTAGTTAAAAACCATGCCTTAAGCATAGGGAAAAATGTACCACAAATCTTAAGTCATTTTCAATATAGCAAATAGTTACTGGCAGCCTCTAATACCCTTTAGGAATGCTGAATACCAGCGGGACTTTCAAAAGTTGCAAAGTACCTAAAACATCTTTGGATGTTATGGACACCATGGGTCAAACATCTTAAGATGGTAGGGCATTTCAAGAGCTAACCCTTGTAAGCAGTGACCCAACTGAAGGTCAAAATGAAGGAGAAACACTCAAAAAGGAAATTTTCAAATTCACATTTTTTTAATATCTAGTATCAGTTTTTTCTAGCTACTGTATGTATAGAATATCATAAATGCAATATATATACTTAGCAAGGAACTATATGCATTTTAACCTCAACATTTAACAAAAAATTAATTCTGCCCCCCCCCCCCCTTCCCCTTTTTTCATACATTGACTGCTTTTTTTCGAAGGGATGAAGGACTGTAATGGCCACGAATACCTTATTACACAAATTGTGAATGAGAGTCCAGAAGAGGCACAGAGGACTGGGAAGGAATGTACGGCACCTGGCAAGAAAGAAAAAACCAAGCCCCATGAAGACCCAAGAGTTCTGTCCCTCACCCTGCTGAAAGCCTCCAGATAACTTCCCCCCACCCCCCCACCCCATAACATAGTCACTGGAGCTTGCCACAAAAAGTCTTACAGGAGAAACTCTGCCAGTCACCACACTTTGGTAAACACCACATCACCCTCAAAGAGAAAAGGCAAACCAGCAGCTTGATCTTTCGGTGTGCAATCAGAACCCCGACCTTGGCTAGTTCACTGTTGATCTCGGATCCTTATGCTCCCATCACCTCTTTAAACACACCCAATTCTGGTTGTGGTGTTCAGTAGGCCTATGCAAGTCGAGAGGCTTGGTTGTTTTGTGGATGTTTGTGGTACCAAAGCAAATGCACCAGGGAACTACTGAGGGCCAGTCCAGAAAGTAGACTGCTCTTTAATGGGGAACAATTGTTGAGCAAGAAGAAAGCATTTATATTAAAAAACTTTCCAAGCTTGCAAATTGACTCCAATGTGCTTAATACATATACTGAACATCTCTTGAGCACAACAGGTTACATGGAACAAAATAACATATCTTAGTTATGTACAAAAATAGCAGAAATAAGAGTGAGTTGTGAGTGCAAGGCTTTGAAGGATGCATAGTTGCCAATTTTAGCACTACTACACGGGAGTCACATTTGAATCTTTTTTTGCCAACAGAAATCCAAGGCAAGTAAGTCTTTTAGTGATGCTGCATCTGCAGAGCAGTAAATATGGCAAAGGGAATACAGTAATTCTGAAATACTGTAAGAGTTTGGCAATTAGAATTCTGGTAACCAAAATCTTCGGCTAATACAAATGAATTCACGTTCATTATTATTGAGTGAACAACGGGAGTAAACAGGTAAACCCTGGAAACGTGCAGGAGTACCCAGGTAAATAGCAGGAGTAACCGGGTAAACAAATGAAATAAGCAGGTAATCGGTGACACTGCAAGAATAACCAGCAAAGTAATAGGGCTCTGGCACAAAAAAAAAAAATGTGAATTTGTTAATTTTTGGACGTTCCTGGTAAGAAATTCAGCTAACTTGAATGTTGGTGGGCCCCATATGATTCAGATTACAAAGCATAGATAGCAATTTACCTTAAAATAATAATTGACATTATTTACCTTTATTTGGTTGAGAAAAATCGCCAGCAGTACAAATGCCAATGGTGGGATTGAAGACATTATAGCACCAGCCACAGTTAAGTGATTCTAAGCAAACGTCACAGGACAGCAGATTTTCACAAACATGGCATTCAGTAGCATCCATGTTTATCCTAAAAAGCAAAAGAAATATATAAGTCACATTTTGAATTTGTTACCTGCATGAATAAAAGGTTTGCCGCCTAATACACAGTATTTACTCTAGAAATCCCCCTATATTCATCCTCAGAAAGATGATTTATTAACTGTTTTCCAAGTACTGTATATTGGTTTGAACATCTTTTTGTTGACGTACTCTTATAAAATCACTGACGAATATTTTTCTTATATTGTACTTAATACCACTTTACTAACACATGTATACTTTAATATATATTTTAAATATATTCCCATTCACTTCAACATACTGTATAGCACTGTAGCACTGTATATATACCTAAACGTCACTCTGTAATGCACAATAAAATCACACAAATGTGATTAATCTATGAATAAATATTGAGGAAGTGTGATGGAATCAAACTCTCACACCTGAATGACCCAGTCGATAGTGCATGTGTCTAAGGAGTTCAGGGACACAGGTTCAATTCTATTGAACAGCCTCAATACAGTATTTTTTCTCCACACTCTAATACTGCACTCAACTAAAATATTTTAAAACACATTCCAATCTATATTGAGAGATGCCATTCCTACTCTCAAGGTTATGTAAGGCATTTGGAAGGCAATGGATAATGGGGGGCTCATTCAAGCCCAGAATGATTGTCCGGGGAAACATTCATAAAGACACTTTAAGACCTGCCCAATCCTCTCCCAGCATCACAAGTGAACCCCAAGTTCCCAGCTGCTTGTTGTCTAAGTCTTACCAAACCAACCGCCACCTGTATGTGCCTCTGTGCCAAGGTTAACAGACCCCAGATAATGCCACATTCTTCTTTACTTGTTTTCAGTCATTAAACTTCATTCTGTGCACCGATGGCCGTTACATAATAAGATTCATTTAAAATAAATCGGAACAAGTGATATTGTGGCAATAAACACTTTTAGTAGACACATTAGTGACCCTTGTATCACAGTTCCTTTCAGTGTAAAGAATGAATACTGGGAAACCTAACATACACTCTACGAAGCTAATGCTGAATGGAAGAAGGGGGAAGATATTCTCGAGACGTAACAACTCTCCCTTCCTTTACTCGCATCTCAGTCAGTCACTAACATGAATCTTATAATTAAGCAGTGTACATGTACAACTTCCAAGCGACAAAGATACTGCATAAGGTAGATCTAAACATGCATCAAAGAAAGGGGTAGTGGTAAGGGCCAACTATGATATGCATACTTACCATTGCAATTATTCTAGTGATCTAATTATGACATAAAAAAGATGCCAGAGATATACAATATCAATCGGGAAACTATATTAGTATGGACAGGTTAAAAGTGATCTGCTGAATACACAGAGAAATCCCATTATTGTGATATATCAATGAGAAAAGCCACAGTGAATTTTCTGTGGATGCAGAATACCCATCCCCATAGGTTAAAAAAAAGCATTGAATGTAAGGAAACGCCATTTTCTAAGCGAGTCCCGGAGGCCCCCCGGAGCTATCCAGGCTGATATGTATATCGTTAGACTTTGGCATCAGTGTGAATGGAGTTCTAGGCCTACCGGGGACCATGGCCAGAACCTGGCCCCCTCAGAGAGGCACGAGGAGCAATGGCATATAGAAATGAACACGTGATTCGAGCATTCTATATCTGTCATCGACCGGGACAGGCACCCAGAAAGGTAAGCATCTCAAAACAAACCCTTATTTTGGTTAAAATGACTAAAATAGACAAACTAGTGACAGAACTCCCCATATGAAAACGAGCAAATGAACACGACATCACACGAGCCATGCCGCATGTCTGTGCAGCTCTTCCCTCCCCAGGAGGGGAAAGGGGGAGCCCCAGACCCCCACACGGCAATCCACCCACCAGTTTTGAGACTGGATGTCAAAAACATGCGAAAAACCGCCGACCGGGAGGGAGAGAGGATTGCCGGGGAGCCTCCAGGACTCATCCAGAAAATGGCGTTTCATTACATTCAATGCTCTTTTTTTGGTGAAGCCCCTTCAGCTCTCCGGAACTACTTCACGAAATATGAAAACTAGAGAGACTTACCCGAGAGGCGGTCAGTGCTCGCATCTCAACTCGAAGTCGAGACAACACCTGCTTGGTACCTGCTTGATGGGGTTCTGGGAGTGCTTCTACTCCCCAAGCCCGGCCCGAGGCCAGGCTTGACTTGTGAGAATTTGGTCCACCAAGGTGTTGCTTGGAGCGGCCTGCAGGCCCACATACTCATCACAGCCAGGTTGGTCAAGCACTCTTTGAAGAAAATAATCTAGTTTTCTCTTGAAGATGTACACGGTTGTTCCGGCAATATTTCTGATGCTTGCTGGTAGGACATTGAACAACCGCGGACCTCTGATGTTTATACAGTGTTCTCTGATTGTGCCTTTGGCACCTCTTTTCTTCACTGGTTCTATTCTGCATTTTCTTCCATATCGTTCACTCCAGTACGTTGTTATTTTACTGTCCAGATTTGGGATCTGTCCCTCCAGTATTTTCCATGTGCATTTTATCTGGTATCTCTCTCGTCTCCTTTATAGTAAGTACATTTAGAGAGCTGTGAGACGATCCCAATAATTTAGGTGCTTTATCTCATCTATGCGTGCCGTATATGTTCTCTGTATTCACTCTATTTCAGCAATCTCTCCTGCTCTGAAGGGGGAAGTGAGTACTGAGCAGTACTCAAGACGGGACAATACAAGTGATTTGAAGAGTACAACCATTGTGATGGGATCTCTGGACGTGAAGGTTCTCGTAATCCATCCTATCATTTTTCTGGCTGACACAATACTTGCTTGGTTATGCTCCCTAAACGTTAGGTCGTCGGACATCATCATTCCCAAATCCTTGACATGCTGTTTTCCTATTATTGGCAGATTCAATTGTGTTTTGTACCCTGTATTATGTTTCAGATCCTCATTTTTGCCATATCTGAGAACTGTACCTCAAATTTATCACCGTTAAACATCATATCATTTTCTGCTGCTCAATCGAAAACTTTGTTAATGTCTGTCTGTAGTTTTTCAATGTCTTCAGCAGAGCTAATTTTCATGCTGATTTTTGTATCGTCTGTAAAGGATGACGCAAAGCTGTGACTTGTATTTTTGTCTATATCTGATATGAGAATAAGGAACAGCAGCGGTGCAAGGACTCTACCTTGAATTGAAATTGAAATAAGTTTATTGAGGTAAAATACACACAAAGGGATGAGGTAGCTCAAGCTATTCTCACCCCGTTCAAACTGGGGTGAGAATAGCTTGAGCTACCTGCTAAACAAAACTGAACCAAGGCCGATGCGACCAACACCCCCAAGTCCGGGTCCCTATACGCAAAGCGGGGCATCTGGGGAAGCAACCACCCTAGCATATTGCAGCAACCTAAACCTAGTCTGCAATGCCCCGAGCTGCCTACACCCGAATAATGTCATCAGTAAATTGGGTGAATTGAGTCCCAAACAAGCAACAATGCTCACAGGACTCTGGGTCAAAGGTGTCACCGACCCAACAGGCAGCAAGAAGGAGGCAAAAGCTATGAGCATCGCCCTGAGACAAGGGGACATACCAACCCTCAAACTCGCGCAAGACGAGAGGGGACCCAGGGGTCGCATCCATCGGACCCCGTGCCCCCCCCCCCTCTCCCCGCGAGGTTTCCCAGGGCCCCTAGATTGGTATTGCTAAGGGTAAGCCCATGCAGGGTACTGCTAAATGGCACCCAATGCTACCAAACAAACTGCTAAAGTTGAATCCCCAGGACATGTCCACTCATGGGGGCGAAGCAGGGGTACCACCGAAAACAGAAGGTCAACCCTAATATAACTGGGGGAAGAGACTAAAGCAGACCTCCCCCCCCCCAACTAAGCGAAAGACAAAGAAAAAGAAAAACCTCGCAATAGGACAACGTACCCAGGAGGAACAGAGCCGGCCACTGTTATAGGTAAAAACTAGCTACGCAGTACTCAGTGCCTCCACCAGTGCAAAAACTACCACTTACCCCAAGGCAAACAAGGGAGGAAACCCCCTAACACACTCGGGGTGGTCAATCGCCGAGCAGCAAAAGACCAACAGAGGTAGACCCCAAGGTGACTTGTGGAAGATAACCCCTAGCCCCAAGGACAGTACTTACAGGGCACTCAGGGAAGGGAACCCTAAGCACATGCAGCCCGATTACCTGTGAATATTACTCCCAGCTCGCAAGCCTCAGTAAGAGCAGTACTGGACCCAAGATACAACACAACACAGAGTGTGTGGAGCTGGAGCCACATGACAATGACCTATCACATCTGCTGAAGAACTTGTGAGTGGATCGCAGGCGTGGGGGTCTGGGTTTCCCCCTTCCCCCTCCTGGGGAGGGGGGGGGGGGAGCTGCGCAGACATGCGGCGCAGTTCGTGTGACGTCATGCTCGTTTGCTCGTTTTCATTTGGGGAGTTCTGTCCACTAGTTTGTCTATTTTAGTTGTTTTAACGAGAATAAGGTTTTTTTTTTGAGGCGCTTACCTTTCTGGGTGCCTGTCCCAGTCGATGTCAGATATAGAATGCTCCAAATCACATTTGCATTTCTATAGGCCATGGCTCCTCGTGTCTCTTTGAGGGGGCCAGATTCTGGCTCGTGGTCCCCAGTAGGCCTGAAACTCCATTCACACTGACTAATGCCAAAGCCTAACGATATACTGTACATATCAGCCTGGATAGCTCCGGGGAGCCGAATAGGCTCCCCCCAGAAAAAATGGAATAAAATAATGAACTGGGAATACCCGGCGCATTGGTTCGAATCCTAATCACAGCTCCTGTGGATTTTCTTCTGATCTGCAGAAACTGCTTAAAGGATCTAAAACAGTATATGGAAAGCCTAGAATTACTCTATAAAGCCAAATATTATTCAAATCCTTGTGTAAGGGAAGTAAAATGGGCATTCAAGGCTAAATGAGACTTGGACAATGACCTGTGTCATAACAGGATCACGGTTACATGACAATTTTCCACAATGTTTCTGAATTTATCCCTTTAAAGGGGAAACGACAAAATTCAATCAGCAAAGAGGTAAATAACAAGATACATTAAAAGAAAACTATAACAAAAATTGAAAGAGATACCAAAGAGAACTAGCCTAACAATTATAATGCATACCTCTTTCTCTCCCAAGGGGCTCAACACACTATTTCTGTTCAGTGCTCAAAATAAACACAGTTATACATCAAAAACAACAGAAATACAAAATAGAATTAACGAAAAATTTAAAAGTACGAATAACATATGCAAAGACCTCTTTATGCAACTGACAACTTATTCAGAAGGGGATGACTTAGCCTGATAGTTAAGATTTGACTATAGCAATAATGTATGAACCTATGTTTTGAAGACACCGAGTATGACTTTGAAACTGGAAACAATCTTGTCAAGTGAAATTAACTGCTTCAAATAGGCATGTGGATCATTATACATTTAGAAGCAGAAATACTGTTGGAGGTTCTACAAAGTATAGACTGGATTATCCCTAGTCACGGAATATATTAGAACAATATATATATATCGAGTTAGAAATGATTAAAATTTGTAGTAAAAAACAGAGCATACACGAAACAGGATACATAACCTAGGAAATAGCTACAACCACATTGGAAGAATGTGTTAAGAGTGGCAATATTGTTAATTCAATACAGACATAACCAGGTTATAGATACTGAAAGATGCAGCTATGTTACCAAGAACAATATTTATCCACCTGATTCAATACTTCTAAAGCCATGCCTCATAGAAACTCCACTCCAAGGGCCGTCAACAAAATGCCAACGTGTAGCCCAATTTAATCAACATCTACCTTGCTATACTGTATGTTCCTTATGGAATCATGAGATCTGCCTCGTACAGAATTCTCCATTCTCACTTTCCATGACAATGGTCCTTACCTCATGTTCTTCACTCATGTACATCTTCCTGACAAGTCTTCCATCAGTCTAAAATTGCAATACATGTACCAAACAAGAAGAAAGGATACAAAACAGGCCTCCCATGAGGATAGGGCATGCCTGTTCCACCCCATGAAAGCAGGAAAAAGGGTAATGATAATGTAGGTATATACAATAACTACTTACACAGGAATGCTGGATTCAACTGAGGCGGTTGTGGAGAGGTACGGCAAAGTTGTACCTACATGATCTACAGTCTCAACAGGGCTAGTTAATGTAGCAGGAAGGGTAGAAGACATATTGGTGTGGTCTTCATCTAGCCATACACGACATGAGCCATATTGATAAACAGATGTGTACACTGAGAAAAGGAAACATTCCTGAAAGAAAAATTCATATATTATTCAATAAAAGTTTTTAAATATCTTATATTATCATGATTAAAAGTATTCAAATCTATTCAATAACAAGACAAAGTAAGACCATAATACCAAAAATATATCTAAGAGACTTACACTTGATTCTTGACACCATGCACAACGTCCTGGGTCCCCAAGACATGTAGCACAGGACTTGCGCTTATGACAAGGTGCAGGGCATTTATTTACCTCTATCACAGCCCCTTGAAATCTTCCTTTTCTAGAACAATAGGCTTCATCTGGCAGCCATTCACAAAGTCCAGATCCAACACAATCATTGCAGTAAATATACTGTTCACATGTTATACACTGCTCAGGTACTAGTGTAAGAAAGTAGTCATTTACAGTGCCTTCTGCTGTAGTTAAAGAACAAGAAGACTGTTGGTCATGCCTAGCAACACAAGACGAGGTTTGGCTGCACCAACCACACTTGGCATCTGTGAGACAGGCCAAACAAGTGACATGAGCAGCACATGCGGCACCTCCTACACTATATGGTTCTAGATATTCCAGAGATATTACACGGTGGGAGTGGGCATGAGCATTCCACACTATGCTCACAACCCCAATATGAGGAGAGTGTTGAACAGGCTGGCTAACTTGCAATTTCGTAAGATACCGACGACCACGAGACAAGTCCGTAAAGATGGCTCCTTCATTGGGCCTTTGTGCTGCTTTTGTAGTAACTTTTTTAGCATCTATGCTTGCGACTAATTCCAAGTTCTCTTTGGTGTCGTTGAGAGAGACCCAAAGTGAGGCATTTACGTGTGAAGCCTGAACAAACACCATTAGATTTTTGTCTCCTTTCACTGGCCTTACTCCTAAGGGATGTATGAACCCAATTAAGTGAGCCATGGTGCTTCCTCCTGTATGTAGATCCCGTGCCCCACGAAATTCCTGAGTGTCCCGTAGTTCTTGAATTGTGGTATTTACTATAGCAACATGATCAGGCTTGGCCAGATCAATTGGATGACGATAACGTATGACAGTTATGCCAGGTCTCAAGTCAAGCTGCTGACACTCTTCGGGGGTAATTAGGTCATTACCATGGGGGCCCCACCATCCCTCCAAATTCAACGGATTATCATCAGGAGATCCACACCGTCCCAACCCACCACTAGGTTCATCTCGCTCGTGGCATTTGGCCGTCTGAACACACCAGGCACATGGACCACCACGGGTATATCTACCATGTATAGCACATGACTGACATGAATGCAATGAAGCACAAACACCAGGACACTGTGACGTTTGTAAGTTATTGGTACAGTTTGCTCCACGTGACCTCTCGTAGCAGCTCAAGTCAGATGGACACCAACCACACTCTAGGTTGGATACACAGGATGCCTGCAACAGAATAAAGAAATTATTAGCAAAACAAACAGTTTATGAACACCCTTCTGAACACCTCTCTGCTTCTTGTCAATGTGTTAGAAACCATAAACTTTAGATATTTGTGGGTTTTTTGTTTCATTTAACTTTTTACATGCAAATTTATCATTTTGTAAGTTTTTTTTTACAGGACGGAAGTGTCACCTATAATGGTACTGTAGCTGCAGTTAGCTGGTTAAGTTCTAAAGACACTCCCAAGCCATATATATACAGTACTAAATATATTAGATTTTTACACTGGCCAATGATACAGACAAGAGAAACACTACCTCTAGTTGCAGCAGGCACTGCACAGCATTTTGGAAGATGCTGTGATACAATAAAGAAATAAAACACATTACAGCATATATAAAGTTCGTGAATGCCTCTCGTCAACTGCCATTAAGCATACCGCACCAGATGATTAACAAGTTTTTGTTAAATGCCTACCTCATAAATACATATACTGAATTTCACTCTTTCTGGGCACCTGAAAAGCAAGAGCATGAGAATGTTTACACCATTTAGCAGGGAATGGAGTCAGGTCAACAGACTAATGGACATAACATCACACAGACCTGGCTGTTGTGTCTTCGGCATGCCTCATCTGTGTCAAAATCGCGTCCATCAGGAGAGACCAGAGTAGAAGGCAAAACATAAGCCAACACGTGACTATTTACTGTGCCATGAAAGCCGCCTACTATAACCATTGTGTTGCCTCCACGCAGGAATACACTGTGCCCATAAACACCTTGCATTTTAGGGTACATGCCTGGAAAAAAAAAATATAAATATTATATTGTATGAATGAATGAATGAATGAATGAATGAATGAATGAATGAATGAATGAATGAATGAATGAATGAATGAATGAATGAATGAATGAATGAATGAATGAATGAATGAATGAATGAATGAATGAATGAATGAATGAATGAATGAATGAATGAATGAATGAATGAATGAATGAATGAATGAATGAATGAATGAATGAATGAATGAATGAATGGAATGAATGAATGAATGAATATGTATATACGTACGTACGTACGTACGTACGTACGTACGTACGTACGTACGTACGTACGTACGTGCGTGCGTGCGTGTGCGTGCATGTGTGTGTGAGTGTATTTTTTTTTTATTCTAGGGACCCATAGCCTCGAAGAAGAAAATAAAGAGCATTCAGAGAAGACCTTGTGGGTTCTCACTGAACATTTTAATATTTTGTCTCCTACTACCCTTATTCTTGTTTATTAATTTTACTTTATTACATTGTTACAGTTTACAGAAAATACACACACATATATTAACAATTACTGTTCGAAGACCTCGTCCAGCTCTTCGGAGGTTGGGTGCGTGCCCAAGATACAGCACGCATTTACTCTCTGGATCGCTACTCTGAGGCGCTGGAACAGGAAACTGGCCGCTATTGAGTCTTTAGTTTTCCCAATGAGTGCCTCACCCACCTCCTTTAGGAACTTAAGTGCACATATACCCCAGGCGCCTAGGGTCTCAGAGCCTATCGACACGAACCAGTCACAACGTTTTAAGTCCCTGTACTTGTTGGTTTTCTGGGTCTCCATGAAGGTGGCTGCCCTGCCTCCCTTAGCTGTACTGTGAGGTAGGAAGGTATCAGCCAATGTAAATCCTCACGTGTAATCCCATATGACATGCTTACCTTCCCTCCATGGTTGCAGAGTGATTCCATCTGGGTGATTGTGACTGCTGTCAGGTCTGCACAACTGAGGTTTCCTTTATGCTGGACACCCAGCTGTAGCCAAACTTCTCTTGATGATGTCATTGACTGCTTCATGTCTGGCACTCTTTCCCTGTGACTTACAACAGATTCTTGAGATGATTTCGGGGCTTAGCATCCCCGTGGCCTGGTCCTCGACCCGGACTCCTTTTTGTTACACATCCCCCAGGAAGCAGCCTGTAGCAGCTGTCTAACTCCCAGGTAACCATTTACTGCTAGGTAACAGGGAAACAGGGTGAAAGAAACATTTTGTCCATTTATCTCCGCCTCCACCAGGGATCGAACCCGGAACCTCAGGACTATGAATCCGAAGCGCTGCCTACTCAGCTGTAGACGAGACCATGGCTGCCGTACTGGTCTGCCCGCACACAGCAGCAGATACACCGGTGTTTGGTTGAGATAGAAGCGACAATGCACAGGGCAAGACCAATACTTAGGGCCCGGTGGTCAAGGCGGATGCCCAAGGTGGAATTAGGGACAGCCAACAGGAAGTCCTCGGCATGATGAGCTTACACAGCTAGAAGACGCACTCTGTCATGTCCAGAAGCGGTCTCCCACAATGGTGTTGCAATGTTCACCACTATGGGTCATATATTAATTCAGTTGACCCTAATAAGGTGGTTTTTAATTTTTCAAAGAGGATTTTGTCTCCCACTGAGAAGGAACTTCTCTCTTTGGGGTTAGACTTTGGGTCGACACGTAAAAAACCAGCGTTGAATGTAATGAAACACCATTTTCTGGGCGAGCCCTGGAGGCTCCCTGGAGCTTATCGGGCTAATGTATGTTATGTTAGACCGGGACATTAGCTACGGAGTTCAGACCTACCAGGGACCAATGCCAGAACCTGGCCCCTTCAGAGAGGTTTCAGGGAGCAATGGTCCTGGAAAACCCCATATGGTTGAGGGTTTTCCTTATCTGCCATCGACCGGGGTTAGGCACCCAGAAAGGTAGGCATAACAAAACAAACCCCACATGGTAAGAAACTACAACAAAAACCGAACAGAGAGGTAGAAAACTCCCTACAATCCCAAGGAAACAATCAAACAATCAATTTACTGCTGTGCCAGTCGTCTGCACAGTCCTCCCCTCCCCGGGAGGGGGAGGGGGGCCCCGGACCTGACCACGCCGGCTGCCTTCAGTTCGCAAGCTAGTGTCAACTGGGATAGACGCTTCTCTGGCCTCAAATTCCTGGGCGGTGTTCGCCTCGTGTGGCATTCTCTGCTGTTTTTGTGTGGTGTGCGGTGGCCAGGAGTACTTCATCAATGCCGGGGCTGCATGCGCTTAGGGGCTTCCTTCCCTAGACGCCCTGTAAACCCTTGTGTGTCAGGGTTATCTTCTCTGGGGCGTTCGGGAACCACTCCCGTAGAGGTTCTTGCTGCTCGGCATTTGCCTCGCCCTTGGGGCCAGCTGGGGCTTGGGGCCCTTGTTTGGCCTTGGGTAGGGAGTGGTATTGTGCTGGTTAGGGCGTCAAGGTGTTGCGCGGCCTGCTACCTAAGCGGCGACCGGTTCCTGTTGCCTCTGGGGACGGTGTACTTTTACGGGGTTTTTCTTTTGTTTTGTTTTTGTTTGCCTGGTGGAGGTTCTGCCTCGTGAGTCTATAGTTCCCATGGTATTGTTTTGGTGGCCCTCTGCTAGGCACAAAAAGCATCATTGCTTTAACAAGTTCTAACATAAAAAAAAAAAAAAGAGTATTGGTATAAATGTAGCGCACCATTCTTTTTACAGATTTAAAGTTCTGTACTGTATTGGTATCAGATAATAATGCACTATTGCTATCGGTCAGTTGGTGAGAATATCGGGGTCGTTATACCTCTAGTACTTACTGCTGGGTTTTCTGCCTAGTCTTTTCCCTAATTTAAAATCAAGGCCTCTTGTTCTACCTATTTATGATGTCAAATGTTTTACCACATGTTTTCAATATCACTTTATAAGGTTAAATATTGTTATCTTATCCTCGTCGTCTTTTCTTCCAAGATGGACATTTCCTGTAACTTGAAGTTTCTTCACTGCTCGTATTTCTTATCACAGGAATATATCTGGTCAAAGGTTCTATGACTTACTTTATTTTGGTACTTTATGTAATGTCTGGTGTGGATTCCATGCAAGAAACGTGCAAATACTGTACAGGTTTGGGGAAGGAAGGTCATATTCCTTAAGCTAGTAGTAAAACAATACTTTATACTTTAATACTTTACTAGTAAAGTATTACTAGTAAAACAAAAGCTTATTAAAGCTGCACCTTTAGCACAGCTCTCACTAACCTGCATGCCCAGTTGGTGTCAGCTGGTGGGACATCCACACATGACAGCCCAGGTGGTAAAGATAGAGTTTGTTGTCATAACACGTCTCTTCTTCCTTATGTTTGTGCATGTATCCTCCAAATATAACCATATAATTACCTGAAAAACAAAACAGAATTGCCTACTAATAATGCCTGATAAATCAAACAATTTAGTGCAATATATATTTAATGTATAGTGCAAAGCCCTTGCATATATCTACAAAACGTATGGTGTGTGGGAACACCCACTGTATGGGTTCGAACTCTCATCACGGCTCCTACGGATTTTCTCATCGATGCAGTCGTGTTAGTGTTATTACTCTCTGTCTTTTAAAACATATCTTGCTAATATGAAACTCATGGAAAATAATGGGTTGAGATCCAGAAAGCTTGAGGAAAGGAGGGGAGGGGGGGGGGGGAAAGGAAGAAGGAATATCTATTATAATATTTTCATACATCTGGTCATTTATTTATTATGGTGTAATTCTGACCAGGAACTGGGGTGGTATTCAGCATCATATTAGACCAATACTGTTCAGCCTGCAGGGATATGACAAGTCTCATTTATGAGGACTTGTGTGTATTGATTCTGCTGGGACGTGACTTGTCTCACTTAGGACTTGTGACAAGTGATCCAGCTGGGATGTGACTAATCTTGGTCAAGTGAACTTGTGTGCATTGATCTTCCTGGGATATGACGAGTTTCACTCGTGTAAACGTGTGTATTGATCCTACCGGGTCGTGACTTGTCTTACTCATGTTGACCAGTATGTATTATAGTAATTAAGCTTGGACTGCTGTAACTAGTGATGATCACTTACACCATATGACATGCCTAGCCCCATACTAAGTACAGACATATAATACCAATTAAATATATGTACAATGAACCACAATAGCATGATATGTGAGAATGTCTTATGCATACTCATTTCTTGGCTTCTAAGTTCATCCTAGAATACTAAATGATGAACAGTTTATATGGACCCAAAATATTTTTACTGTTAGAATGTACACATTCTAACAGTACGATACAGTAGTCAAGGAAGAGAAGAATTCCTGATATAGGTTCACAAAGAAAAGGTCAAAACCAGAACTTGAGAGAATAGCACTATTCAATATTGAGGATAGTGAGATGATGTAGCAAGTTACAGGAGGCGGCATGGAGCACATACTGATAAAGGTTCCCACAATGTATTGGTAAAACAAAAATCTTTAAAAGGGCAGGTTACCCTGTGGTTACCTTATATTGATCCCAGGGGTCAAGGTCCCCACGGCCCAGTCTCTGACCAGGCCTCTGGCATGACAGGAAGTAATCAGTTATGATCAATGGACAAATTCATAGCACAATCAAACCCAGGAAAGTTTGCCAGTGAGCTTATTTAACAAATAATCCAGAGCAGATAGCACCGAGTAACTTTCCCAGTTTGGACACCAGAGCAGTGACATCGAACTCTAAGTTCGATTACCCACTAGACCATGATGGCCTTAAACGCGACACTACCTGGAGTTCACCCAGTCTTACAAGGAGTTTGGAAGGCACTACACTGGTACCTAAATTCAATTTTTACACAATACCCACCCACTCTCTGGTTTAAGCAACATGAACAAAATTAGCACAATGTGCTGCTTTTAAGACTGGCACATCTACGTCCCTGATAAAAAGAAAATATATAAACATTATATTACTTATTAATAGGGGAAAAAATTCAAGACAATGGAAGGTGGTCATCATCATTACAGTATTAATCATCTTTACTTACCAGCAATAACAGCAGAGTGGAATGCACGTTCCAAAGGAATATGCTGCAGTGGGTTATTGTGAGATCTGGGATACTGAATCTGTGACCAGTAATGCTGGTCAATGTCAAAAACCAAAAGACGATCAGAGAGTTTGGAGAATCTGGAAATATACGTAACCTTGTTGAGAATCACCAAAATACATACAAGTACACACACACACTCCTAACAAGAACTATACAATATTATATACAGAAAGAATACATTAGCCACTTTGGCTTACCTTGCTATATCCACTCTAATTCCACCATAAACAAGTAGAGACCTGGACGGGGCATGAAAAACTGCCGAGTGACCAACAACACGAACCTCCAATTCATTGCCACCACGCACTACCACCTGAAAAAAAAAGTCTTGGTAACAACACAATGCATCATTTTAACTAACATGCTTACTGTTTCTAAACATCTGACAATTAAAATGTATACAAATATCAGTTGAGCCTCAAAACCTGGGACTGGGCCTGTTCTGAACCACTGTACCAAGGTAACTAGACCTGTTCTCAACTACCGTACCTAGGTAACCGGATGTCTTCGTAACTACTATACCATGTGCTCGTAAAGTCTTCTAAATGAAAATATCAGAACACATCTTAGTAAAATTGTACACACAAAGAATGTGCAAATGTTGCATTTTTAATAAAAAAATTAAAAATTTTCTTTTTTCTAATTTTTCTACCCATATTCTATGCCTGCATAAAGAGTTGGATCACTTGAGTGAAATCTTCATTTAAATCAATCACACTGTATATCGACAAGGAAAATCTGTCCACTAAATTATAACGTTCATCACAGGTCTTTCCCTTTGACCATCCCCTATACCTGATGCCTAATTGTGCAAACAAATGCCACATCAATTTAAAAATGAACACAAAAAATATATTAATACCCCTACCCACACAAATGAAAAGAAAGGAAAGTGACAACGTAAAGAACGACTAAGACTCGGGGACCTAAGACTCAAACTGTTCACAAGGGTCATGATGTTACATAAAATTTGTATTAAGTCATGTCAAGCTAGTACAGTATTTAAGAAGAAACGGGTCACTATTCATTCTGGCGGAATGAAAAAACCCTTCTCAAAATAATAACTTTCCATGCAATTTTTAGTAAAACAAGCCTGTCTGCTATTCCATGATCAAAACTTCTGGCACCTCCATCAAAGACAAAGATAAAGATAATTTTTAATTTCAGAAATATACAGTAACTTGAAATATAAGTCTTCAGAGAGGGAACATTCTTGTCCCCTCTTGGTCTTGTCCCTAACGAAGATAAGCAATATGAGGGCACGGGACTCCATGAATTGACTGCGGCGAGTTTTTCTAACACACAGCAACTAACTAGGTAATTGACATTTCATCTGAAATTAACCCAATTTTGGAGTCAAGATGTTACCTTGAGAAGGCTGTAATATAATTCTTGGCTACCTACAATATCTACAAGACAAAAGAGAACATGATAAGAACAGTCCACACGCCCATGGTGACCACAACATGTGCACCCACCTCTTGATGTGCTGCCTCTACAAGTACCTGCCAATGAATGTAGCACACTACTTTTTAGAATTTCATATTGCCTATTAAACTACGTATACTGCACTTTCATGTTTTGTTAATATAGCAGTAAAAGAAAATTAAATAATAATAATACTGTAATAATAATAATAATAATAATAATAATAATAATAAAGATGCATTCTCTATAATAAATCCCTAGTTTTCCCACATACCTTTCAGTTTAATGTGTGAGAATAAATTTTGCAACCCATTTTACCAGAAGTGTATCCCTTCATAAATTCAGGATTTACTGTACCATGCTATCACAAGGAAAATCCCACCCCTTCATCAAAACCAAGAGCCAAAATGGGTTCACATCATACAAGTTAAATACACTCATTAAAATCTACAAGTCGGTATATAACTTGCAGCTTGAGCTGGAGGATGGATTGAGTAAAAGTTGGATTCAAATACTCCACAAAAATCTACAGAAATCCATAGCACAGCATATTGTTCCATTCAGTGTTGAATTTCAGGTTGAATATACAAACCCTGAACTATCCTGCACAAATAAGCCTTTGTCATTACAGAACATCTGTAATTTAATACAAAATATGCAATTAAATAGACTATCAATCTTAAAGGTAGGAATATGTTTTAGTCAACTAACTTTACACTTACCTTCTCCCATGTCTTTTTGCCTTCCAAGTTCATCCTGTACATGCAGTTTGAAAACTCTCCGTGTTGAAGACTGCCACCAAACAGGTAGAGCCAGGAGTTGTCTACAAGAGTGAGAGTTGCATACATTAACCCTGGGGGATCATCTTGGGTCTTGTTACCAGCACTTTCTTCTCCGCCTCCTAGAAGTCGCCATTCATCCAAAGTTGTATTGTAGAGCCAGAGTTCATTGCTTACCTCTCCTACAAATGAACAATACAACTTCAATAACAAAGTATTGGACATGATAGTGATGGCTGTTGTCATTTCTAATGTTACTTAGGAAATGGTGGTATGAAAATGTCTTGCTGCAGTTCATCCAATTCAGAAAAAACCAGTGCTGAATGTAATGAAACGCCTTTTTCTGGGCGAGACCCTTCGGCTCCCCGGAGCTATACCAGGCTGATGTGTGTATATTAGACCGTGGCAACAGTCAATCGAAGGAGTTCTAAACCTAGCGGGGACCAGAGCCAGAACCTGGCCCCCTCAAGAGAGGCACGAGGAGCAATGGCCTAAAGACACCCCCGTGTAACTGGAAGCAGTCTTTGTCTAGCATCTACCAAGTCAGGCACCCAGAAAGGTAGGAATTCCAAAACAAACTACTGCTGGTCAAAATTTGCAAACCAAAAGCCAAACTAGCAACAGAACTCCCAATCAAAAACAAGGAAACAAGTATGACGTCACCATAAATGCCGGGGATCTGTCTGCGCAACACCCCTCCCCGGGAGGGGGACAGGTGGAAGGGGTCCCAGACCTCCCCACCGGCAACTCTCCTCAGTTCAAAGGCCGAGTATCAAAAATGCTAAAAAAAACACCGACCAGAGGGATGCTGGGGAGCCTCCGGGTCTCACACAGAAAATGGAGTTTCATTACATTCAACGCTGGTTTTCTGTGGAGAGCCCCTTCGGCTACCCGGAGCTACCTGACGAAAGATAAAGAAGAGGGAGTTATCCGGGAGGCAGTAGTCACTCGCTCCTCAACTCGAAGTCGAGACAACTGGATGCAACATGCGACCCAAGACTACACATGCCCGAGAAGGGCCAGGAACATTAACGAGATACCGTGCGGCCAGGACCCTTTTTGACCTCCAAAAGCCCCGTGCCCGAATGTCAGCCCAGGACATATTTCCAAAAACAGCAGCCAAAGCCGCGAACTTACGAACGTCGTGGGCACGGGGATAAACTGCAGGCTGGCTGAACCGAATAATCCTGTGGACGACCTGGGAGACCCGCGCCCTGAAACAGGGAAACTAGGTCCACACCCCATGGACCCCTTTAGAAAGCAGCAGACTCATTCTTCGCCAGAAAAGAAGGAGACGGCTGCAAACAAACGAAACAACCACCAGGACCCGAAGAGCAGAAACCCGTGCTGGAGGAGAGCATGAAGCTCCCCGACCTAATCCCCAGAGGCCAATGCCAACAAGAAAAGAACTTTAGAAAAACAGTCCTGAACCGAGGGGGCCACCACAAACCGAGAAGAGAGAAAAGAGAGCACCTGGTCCAACGACCAGGATGACTCGGGGGGGGGGGAGGGGGGGGAGGGGGGGGTAGGCTGGAGGTGAAACAACGCCTGAGAAAGCTTGTGGAATGGAGCAGAAGTGACATCCACCCCAAATGCAAGTTGCAACGGCTCCGCTAGTGCCGCACGATACGAGGCGACAGTATTTGGCATAAGATGACGGTCCTGAAACAACCAAGAAAGAAAGGGAGAAATCAGAAATCGAAGACAAATTACGAAGAGACATAAAATGCCGAAAAACACACACAGGAAATTTCATACTGCCGTCTAGACGAAACTTGCAGGTGGGACACCATCAACGATGAAACCTGATCACCATACAAGTGGTGATAAACCCACGTCAAAAAGACCAGACGCAAAGAGTGGAGAAGATCGAACCAGCCACGTACCGAATCTGACCGATCTGCTGAAAGAAGCGGAGCCGCGGGAAGACTCTCTGGTTCGGACATCAAGCAAGAAGTACCTGAAACCAGGGCTGGGCCGGCCACTAAGGAGCCAACAGGACTACTCCCCCCTGGTAAGTCTCCAACCGAGCCAGGATCCAGTGCAACAACTGGACCGGTGGGAAGAGATACAAGTAACCCACCTCGACCAGTCCAGCTGAAAGGCATTGACCCCCGACAGCCTCGCAGTCTGAGAAGAGCGCCACATACACTGGAAGATGCCTCGACCACGTCGAAGCGAAGAGGTCTACCTCTTGGCGCCCGTACGTCCGGCAGAGCCTACTGAACGAGTCGGTGTCGACCTTCCATTCCAAGAATAGGGGAATGAACCGAGACAGGCCGTCCGCTAGGACATTTGACACCCCTTGAACGTGAACTGCCAGGAAAGCCAAACCCCGAGAACTCAGCAGACGAGTCACCCGAAGCGACCAGCCCAAAGAGCCAAGGACCGCATCAAACCCCCGAGGTTCAGGCAATGAACCACCGGGGAGCAGTCCGAAAGCCCCAGTAGGAGGAACAAACTCGAAAGCCTCCACCGCCGAACCGGAAGGGGCAGCCCGAGAAATGATGGTCTTACCACCATCTAAACCCTGCCCCGACTCCGGCAACATGGGAAGGGAAGGGGGGGAGGAGCAGGATGAACAACAGAAGGGAAAGGACAAGGGGGCACGGACAAAACCAAAGTCGAGGTGAATAATGCCCCCAAGTCAGGTACCTATGATCAAACCAGGGCAGCCTCGGGACATCCGGAAAGGCAACCAACCTCGCACGTTGCAGCAACCTAAACCTCGCATGCAACACTGAAGCTGCCTAAACCCAAATATCAATAGCACTGGATTGGTTGAATTGGAGTACAAGCAATTAACAAAACTCGCAGGACTCTGGGTCAAAAGTGTCAGTGATCCAACAGGCAGCATGGTGGAGGCAAAAACAGTGAGCCCCAATGGGGTTTTTCAAGGCCCTTAGGCTGACTGCTAAGGGAAGCCCAGGCAAGGTACAGCTAACCAGTTATCCCAGAACTACCAAACAAAGAAACAAAAGCTGAATCCCTGCAACATGTACAATCAAAGGGGTCTAGCAGAGGGCCACCAATATAATACAAGTGGACCTGTAGCCACACCAGGCAGACAAAAGAAAACCTCCACAAAAGCACAACGTCTCCAGGAAGAACAGAACCGACCGCTATGCGTATTATAAGACCACTGCACAGTACTTTGCGCTCCTGCCAGTGACGATACTGCCTCCTACCCAAGGACAAACAGTGGCAAGAATGCCCCAGCTGACCCCAAGGGTGGGCAATCAACGAGCAGCAAAAGAACCTTGCAGACACAGTTCCTGAACAATTTGTGGAAGGTAACCCCAAACCGTAAGGGCAGTACTTACAGGGCACCTATGGAAGGTAACTCTAGGCCCATGCAACCCCAGTACTTCTAGAATTACACCTGGCTCGCACACCATCACACCGCAACACCACAAGGTACAACACTGCACAAGGATCGAAGCCAGAGTCGAACAACTGCCACTCAACACGTCAGCCTCAGAACTGGGGATGGATAGCCAGTGTGGGGAGGTCTGGGGCTCCCCCTTCCCCTTCCCAGGAAGGGAAGAGCTCCGCAGACAGTACCGTGGCGGTGATGGTGGCGACGTGCTTGTTTGCTTGTTTTTGGTCTGGGGAGTTACGCTTGCTAGTTCGGCTTTTGGTCGCAAATTTTAACCAGCTGTAGTTTGTTTTGGGACTCCTACCTTTCTGAGTGCCTAACCCGGTAGATGGCAGATATAGAATGCTTCCAACCACACAGGGGGTTTCTATAGACCATTACTCCTCGTGCCTCTCTGAGGGGGCCAGGTTCTGGCTTGGCTCGTGGTGCCCAGTAGGCATAGAACTTCAATCAAATTGGCTGGTGCCACAGTCTCATATCAGCCCGGTAAGCTCCGGAAAGCCAGAGGGGATCTCCACAGAAAGTTTTGTATACAGTAACTGCAATGAACTAAGTTTATTCTTAGCTGTTTATGAATGTAATACAATAGAAAATTTAAGTAAGAATCTCCATAAGCTTTAGCCATAATACACAACTTTTTTGTTCAACAACTTCATGATCTTATACAAAACTGGGTAATATTCTTCCAAAAGAATACTATTCCTACTTCTACTGTACATTGCTCAATATTACCTACAATCAATGTTTTCCTTCATTATTGCTAGTCCACAGCACATGTATGTGATAAACGTCAGTCTTTAAACCCATTCATGTATTTATGCAAAACATGATAATGCTACTTCAAGTGATGAGCAGCAAAAAATAAAACCCTAAAGCCAATATTTCAAGCAGTAATGCTGAACCTTCAGCATAGTAAACTTAAATATATTGAGCTATCTTTAATTTCAAGCGTACAATATTCTGCTCTCGTAAATATCACAATCGTCACTGACTCCTCCTGCTTGTTCACTCCACTACAGCAAAGCCTTATTTCTAGTCTATATAGAACTCCATGAAATCTATCATATTTATCAATTTCTTTACAGTATTTGCTAATTGATCCAGAATGTGCAGCATGCGCCAGTTGATGTGATATGTACATGTTAATCTGTAATGTGTACAGGCAGTTTCAGATCAGATGAAGATGAACACTGCCAATCCCTGATGATCAGTGAAAGAAGGTTTAATATCAGCAACCACAATGAGCATTTAAATCTCACTCCCCCAAACAGATTACTTCGGCATTACATGATGACAAAAGATTTTCCAACTGAATACCGAATTAAGATGTTCAAACATTAATTATGGGAATAAGACAAAGCACAATATATTATAATAGGAGTGCAAAATCTTGAGCCAACGATTGCGAAGTTTGGTGACACACAAGAAGTGAGTTACATGAGCATTACAGAAGGCACAGACACCATCTTTAGACCAGAACACAGGAAATACATAATAGTGACATATTGATATGCTCAGTGGAGATGGCTTCAGAGACCTACATGTCAGAGATGAGCAGATCATGAGGAAATAAGAAAGCTACTGATGTTCAAGAGAGAAGTTAACAAAAATCCATGGATATTAAAGTGTGTTAATTTTCAACAGAGTTGAACTTAAGAATTAAGGACAAAGTTGGTGCCAATACAATTAGGGGTTCACCTTCCCAGTGCCATGATCCTCAACAGAGGTTTCTAGGCTCTCTAAGCCAGAGATTTTCAACCATTTTAAACTCGCGCATGCTGAACAAGGTGCTGAAGTTAGACACACCATAATTTTTTTCAGTTGAGACTACAGGTATGTGTATGTATGTATATATATATATATATATATATATATATATATATATATATATATATATATATATATATATATATATATATATATATATATATATATATATATATATATATATATATATATATATATATATATATATATATATATATATATATATATATATATATATATATATATATATATATATATATATATATATATATGTCGTACCTAATAGCCAGAACGCACTTCTCAGCCTACTATGCAAGGCCCGATTTGCCTATTAAGCCAAGTTTTCATGAATTAATTCTGTTTTGACTACCTAACCTACCTAACCTAACCTAACCTAACTTTTTCGGCTACCTAACCTAACCTAACCTATAAAGATAGGTTAGGTTAGGTTAGGTAGGGTTGGTTAGGTTCGGTCATATATCTACGTTAATTTTAACTCCAATAAAAAAAAATTGACCTCATACATAATGAAATGGGTAGCTTTATCATTTCATAAGAAAAAAATTAGAGAAAATATATTATTTCAGGAAAACTTGGCTTATTAGGCAAATCGGGCCTTGCATATTAGGCTGAGAAGTGCGTTCTGGCTATTAGGTACGACATATATATATATATATATATATATATATATATATATATATATATATATATATATATATATATATATATATATATATATATATATATATATATATATATATATATATATATATATATATATATATATATATATATATATATATATATATATATATATATATATATATATATATATATATATATATATATATATATATATAATATATATATATATATATGTCGTACCTAGTAGCCAGAACTCACTTTTTGGCCTACTATTCAAGGCCCGATTTGCCTAATAAGCCAAGTTTTCCTGAATTATTATATTTTTTCTAATTTGTTTCTTATGAAATGATAAGGCTACCCATTTCATTATGTATGAGGTCAATTTTTTTTTATTGTAGTTAAAATTAACGTAGATATATGACCGAACCTAACCAACCCTACCTAACCTAACCTAACCTATCTTCATAGGTTAGGTTGGGTTAGGTTGCCGAAAAAGGTAGGTTAGGTTAGGTTAGGTAGGTTAGGTAGTCTAAAAAACATTAATTCATGAAAACTTGGCTTATTAGGCAAATCGGGCCTTGCATAGTAGGCTGAGAAGTGCGTTCTGGCTATTAGGTACGACATATATATATATATATATATATATATATATATATATATATATATATATATATATATATATATAAATAGGTATTAAGAGTGTATTTAAAAGTTTAATAGCTAAAATTCAAATCAGTTATTTTTGTTAAATACTGTAATGTTGATCATGAATTTCAAAACATTGGTTTTTAAAATTAATATTCATACTTCTTATTTTTTCTAATATTTCTGACCTTTCCTCAAACACCTGTGGCACACTGGTTGAAAATCACTGTTGTAGGCCACCGCACAAGCACGGGACTAGGTGCCATGCCTGTATCACCAACTATGACTCCTTGATGATGAAACACAAAATAGGAGGGGTGCAAACCATGTAGTGTCCATACACTCAACTAGTTGTACTTGCAGAGGTTGAGCTCTGGCTCTTTGGTCCCGTCTCTCAACTGTCAAGCAACTGGTCCCCCCCCCCCCACACACAAACACACACACACACACCCTGGAAGCAGCCATAACAGCTGTCTAACTCCCAGGTACCTATTTACTGCCAGTTGAACAGGTGCATCAGGGTGAAAGAAACTCTGCCTATTTGTTTCCACCTGCGCCAGGGATCGAACCCAGACCCCTTAGGACTACAAATCCCGAGTGCTGTCCACTCAGCAGTCAGGCCCCTAGTGAATGTGAATGAAGAGGTGTGAGGGGGATGACAATCATCAACCATCCAAATTCAAATAGAGGTATAGGTATAATCTTAAATGTCCATGGCTTTACTTCTTTCAACATGATTACATTATAGATATAATTTTTCCTCTTTCAAACAAATTTATGACCACTCTAAGCTCACTTTTTTTTATTTACCTGAAATTAATCTCCCACCAAAGAGTGCAAAATGTTGGTCATATTTCTCCATAACATGGCCATATCTGGGGCCTGGATTTACTCTTCTTATTCCATGGCTGGCTGGTGTGTGGTTAAACTCTTCACTGGGTCTGATCATGCGTCGAACTCTTACAGCATCTCCAGTTTGACTCTTGAGCTTGACACTGACAGTATTGTTGCTGTTAACAGAGAAAGTCAAATTTCTAAGAAGAGAACTATTAATGACATGCATTTCCGTCATTCCTTTTAGTCGTGCAGTGCGTTGTGAGTTAAGACGTCTACTTAGACGATTCTGACTGGCTGGGTCACTTACATTAACCCACACACTTGTGGTAAAGTCATAAATTAGGAGATCACCTAAAATATGATTGAGATTATAACCTCCATACACATACAAACGATCTAAATGAGGTAGGTAAACACTGGCATGACTAGTTCTGTCATTTAGGGGTGGCCCCCCTCGCCACAACCAGTGCCACGTGCCACCCTCTGAATCATTTGCACCCAGAGAGCAACCATCTCCAAAATATCCTTCATTGCATTGACAATATGGTGCTGGCTTAGGCTCTCGAGAGTTTGGCAAAGGTTTATAACAGTGTCCACGGTTATGTATCATTCCGCAATTTTCTGGACAGTGTTGACGTTCACAGCCATCGCCGGTGTACAGGTCGTCACAGATGCAGACGTGATTTTCACAGCGTCCTTGTGATGAACAATTCAGGGGACAATCTGTGGGGTACCAATATGAAATTAAGTAAAGCCTATGTAACAGTAAAATGCACAGTAATATAAATGTATACAGTACATTATTTTAGCAGAAATCACAAGTATGAAAACCAATACAATACCACCAAAAGAACAAAAATAAGTTATACTACTGATGAGCAAAATCTGTCAGACACAAAGAAATTACAGCATGCAATCAACAAGAGGCCAAAACAAGAAAAAACCTTACCAGTAACAGAGTACTCTGCCTCAAATCCATCCAGAGCATAGTTTGTATCTGAATACAATAAAATCAACATGGCTCCTGAACTAGCAGTAACCTGAGGGGGTATGGTTTTGCCTGAAAACACCCCCAGCATAAGTGAATTGTATGTCTCTCCATCATACACGTACAGGTGGTCATAGGAGCACTCCGTTTTGATGCTCGTAACATTGAGTGTTATGTACTGACCAGGTGAAGAGGCTGAAATAAATTAAATACATATTATAAAAATCAAGAATACAGATAACTCCTGTCAATGTTTCGTTTATAAATATGGAAAAGAGAGGATACTGAATAAAATGAATCAATATGATTTCAGTTTTTTAATTTATCATAATGCAGGAAATTTAAAAGCAAACAACGATAAGGGCTAAAATATAGAACAAAATATTACCTATAATTATTCCAAATATCAAAAGAATACTGCATATAGCTTCCTTTATACCAAAATTTATGAATTTCCACCTCTTGGAATTATAATTAATCAAATGATCAATGATGTTCATAAAATAATTATATTTTGTAATTTGTGGTGTAGCTTCCTATTTCAACCTCGTCATTCTGCTTGCCAGCTACCATATTGTTACCAGTTTTGAATTGAATTGCAGTGAAATTGAAATAAGTTTATTGAGGTATAAATACATACAAACGGTTCAGGTAGCTAAAGCTATTCTCACCCCGTTCAGTAGAATGTGTTCTCATATTTACTTATTTACTTATATACATACTTACTTGCTTACTTACTTACTTGCTTACTTACTTACTTACACACACACACACACATACACACACACACACACACACACATATAAATAAATAAACTGAAAACTCTACACCCCAATACAATAGAAGTGACTCGAACCCATACTGCCAGGAGCATTATGCAACTGGTGTACAGGAGACCTTAAACGTTTGACCATTACGACCAGACAAAAGATGATGGTTGCCGAGGCTATTTCCCCATCATCCCGCCGGCGCTCTGATAGTAATCTTGGGCATGGTATTTTATCAAATCACCTCATTTTTTGGGGCCGCATGAGGAACACAAATGCAAACAAGCCTGAATGGTCCCCAGACACATATGCAACTGAAAACTCCATACCCCAGAAGTGACTCGAACCCATACTGCCAAGAGCACTAAGGCGTTTTAGTGCCTTATTAGAGTTTAGAGTTTAAGACAAGCAGGGAATGGTTTGAGAAATTTAGAAAAAGAAGTGGCATTCATAGTGTTATGAGTGTTGTGTGTTGCAAACTGGTGGAGGAACACAGCGAAGAACTGACCACCAAAGAACATCACAAGGAGCAGCAACAAAAAACAGCTGAGGAAATTTCTTCAGGGGGAGGAGGAGACAGTATAGAATGTCCCTTCCTCATTAATTAAGAAAATGTGTGCAGCATGGGAAGAATTGCAAACTTTTGCTGAAACGACTCGCCCAAATCACGGTGCAGTAGGCCGTTGCCTTAACCATTTTAATGACACTGTGATGCCTCACTACAGACAAAAATTAAAACGAATGGAAAAACAAAAATCTCTGGAAAGGTTTTTAGTGAGACAAACAAGCAGTGAATCACAACCAGGTCCTAGTGGTATGCAGGCAAAATGTAGGAGAGAGTGTACCCCAGAGAAGTCATCACTGCCTGATGTTATAATGGAAGGGGACTCCCCTTCCAAACAGTAACATCTTTCCACCTCCCCCTCCCCCCCTCTCATTATCTTCCATACGCCATCAAGAGTCCTCCATAAAGGTAAGATAAACATATGTACTGTATTGTAGTTAGAGAAAAAATTTTATTCAGTAAAAAATGTATTTTTAAGTTACCCTGTAATATTTTTGGGGGTGTGGAACAGATTAATAAAATTCCCTTTACTTCTTATGGGAAAAATCGCTTCGACTTACAATACATCTCTGGGAATGGATTACCATCATAAATCGAGGCCCCACTGTACAAGGTTATACTGGTGATTTCATTGCAAATGGGAGATACATTTTGCCAGGTGGACACCAATGCTCTTAGAAATTTAAAGATTTGGTGTTTAGATAAATCTCCAAACAGGGTTTTTGTTGATATCTCTCTAAGTATTGCATGTACAGTACAGCATCCATTTTAGTGTTATTTTATAATCAATTTTTTTTAATTCATACTTTATTTCCCTGAAACACACCAAATACAATTTATTTGTTTATTAGTCCTCCAAAAATGTCAATAAATTTCTTAGGTGTCCATTGATAAGCAGCCTGTATCCATTATTTGCATACAGGCACTATCTGGCACATTATTTGGATCGGGAATATATCCACATACAGGTATAAGAAAGTGTGATATTTTTTATTTATTTTTTTTGGGATATATACAAGAGTTGTTACATTCTTGTACAGCCACTAGTACGCGTAGCGTTTTGGGCAGGTCCCTGGAATACGACCCCCACCGAAAAGAATCTTTTTTACAACCAAGTACCCATTTTACTGTTGAGTTAAACAGAGGCTATAGTTAAGGATTTGCGCCCAGTAAATCCTCCTGGCCAGGATACGAACCCATGACAAAGCGCTGCGGAATGCCAGGCGAGTGTCTTACCACTATACCACGGAGACTATAATTTGGATAGATACAGCATTTTATTCATAACAAATATGTACAAATCGTCATAATTGTTCTCATGGACAGAAAAGACATCAATTACAATAATATAACCAGTATTGTATGATCAGTATTGTGAAATTCAATTATCCTGCATTCAGGAAATTCCCCCTCCCCCCCATTGAACTGTATCCAATATATCCACAATCCTTAAGTATTAGAGAGAAGACTACAATGAAATTTTTATCCAAGGCAAAGCACAAGACCCAGAAGGGTCATTTAACACAGTTAGGATAGACTAATTTGGAGTTTATTGTTTGGAGGAGTCTCAAATTACTCCAGTGAAATTGTTGCATTTTCTGAATGCTTTTCTCAGGGACAGAAAACCAGCACTGGGCTTATTGAGGACTGTCTAGCCCTTGCTTCTAAACTGGAATGGTACAAGAGATAAGTGATACCTGGAGCATACCTGGAGAGGTTTCATACTTCTACTTCCCGAGCCCGGCCTGGGACCAGCCTCAAAAACGTGATGAGTAGGCTGATTCTATTCATAGGTAAATATATTTCTGAGTTATTTTTGCGTTCAATTTTTCTCATTTAACCAGTATAAAGAGCAAACACAAATCATCTCCTTTCAGTTGACAATGAAATTTGTGTGTGTGTTTATCTAAGAGTATGACCCGAAATTATTTCAAAGGTACAAAGGTAGAGAAATGCTGCTCTAGGCAATGATCGACTTTCCCCAGGATGTAACCCACAACAGTTGTCTAACTCCCAGGTACCTATTTACTGCTAGATAAACAGAGGTATCAGATGTAACAGATGTAAGAAAACATGCCCAAATGACACACACACACACACACACTCTGCCTTCGAATCAACCCACGAACCATCCACTTGTGAGCCAGCTGAGAGGCTACGTATAATTAGTATCGTTGTAAAATATAATCATTGCAATAGGCATGTAAAGTATTACATTTCCACAGTATAATTTTTTAGTTATAAAAATACAGATTATTAGTAAACAGACGAGGGGAATGAATTGTGATGCTATAAAGAGTATCCACTTAAGTTAATACTTCAAATAAAGACATAAAACGCTCACCTCGTATGAGCCACTGGCAGTGCGAGGCCTCGGGATACGCTCCCGGGCCATCGGTGATGGTGCCCCACGACCCAGTCAGGATCCTCCGTGACCTGTTGCAGGACCTCTCGGGGGACCACTCCATGGGCACGGCCGGAGCCCACAGCCCCGCCGCCCACAGCACCCACGGCAGCCACCATGCCCACATGTCCTCGAGCGTTGCAGGGGGTTGTAGTAGTAGTGAGGCTAGGGTAGGAACACCACCCCTGGCGTGTCATGGGGTCCTGCCTGCCACCACCACCACGCTCGTCCTGGTAACACATCACTCATTTTGGCCGAGTTAATCCCGTGGCTCTTGTATCACAGTGTCAACAGCTGCATGACGCACAGTGACAGTCGGGGGTGAGGGCAAGTGCGAGGCACTGACAGATGTGGTGTCCACCCCGCGGCGTCCACTCCTCCCTCCCCAGGGTCACACACACAAGGGTGGCCTCAGCGCTGGGATCCCCAGCAGGAGCCTGGCTCCACACTCCCCAGCATCACCCCCTCCTCGCCCCAGGCACTCCCCCAATATGGAACACGGTCAGATAAGACGCGCGGGCGTGCGAGAACAAAGAGATAAAAGGTTGAGTGTTTGTTGGGTTTGTTTGTGGGGGTTGTGGTGGTGACTGGGCCCGGCAACCCTCCCACCACCCACCCGTCTGACGTCACTACGCTCTCTCTTCAAATGGCGCTCGGTTTAGCTGCTTTCTTCGCCACGCTCTTCAAGATTGTGTAACTTGCTTAGCTAAATGATTTGTGGGGTTCAGTCCCTGAGTCCATTATGTGCCTCTGTAACCCTTTCCACTACCGCCCACCAGATGGGTATGGGGTGCATAATAAATGAACTAAACTAAAAAACTAAACTTCTTCTCCATTACCTATATAATAATAATAATAATACTTTATTCATAGGAATGTGCATGCAAAGAACGTCAGGCAAAGGGACAATTGTAGGTACAAGGGCTACACATAAAATAGATCCACTACTACGCAAAGTGAATTTGGTAAAACTTAGAACAATTTAGATAATAATTATTTGTAGGTATAATGGGGTAAATACTTAATACTAAATGAGAAATAAGCTAACATATGTAAGATGTTGTTCAATAAGCTACAGCTGGGTTATCAGCCATGATATCTGGGATCTATGGCAGGAGGCTGCTGCAGCTAGCTAATGAATCCTCCCAATGGTAAACATTCCAATTGGAAACTGTGTGAACAAGAACTGGGACAAACTCTTCAACACTATCTCTGTAATTGCCCTATTATCAGTGACTTCAGACCAAATAGTATGAGGTATTTTGAGCTCTGTAATTATTTCATACACTCAGGAATATTGAAAGATATTCTTGTGATGTACCCTGATTTTGCTAGTGGAGGCTAATAGATAACCCTTACATTTCATGTTCTCTCCTGATTCCATGTATGACTAGCCGTCCTGTAAGGTGGGGATGTTGGATGAGCTTGTAGCTCACCCAGAAAATCGTGAAGTTTCTGTTTAGTCAGAGTTGATTTGTTTTTGTTTTGAAACAGGCATTTTCTCCCTTGATTCCATGTATGACTAACCATCCTATGAGATGGGAATATTTGATGAACTGAGATGGGAATATTTGATGAACTTTAGCTAGTTTTTTTATCTACACTGTGTAATCTGTCATATAGAATAGGGTAGCAGCACATTGCTGTGTATACCTAAGCTTGTTAATAATAATAATAGGACCCATTATCACCACACCAGAAATAAATATCTCTTTGATATCCCCAGGGTCAAACTTAATCTGTGTAAACACTATGCAAATAAAGGGACCCAGTCTATGGAACTCACTCCCTAATGAATTGAAAAGCTGTCCAACTTTTGCGTCATTCAAAAACAAAACTAAAAAGTACCTAATCTCATCTGCATAGTTTTTTTACCTTGTTGTTTTAAAATTGCACTGTAACTATTGCTACCCAATCTCATTATCTTTATGTACCCAATCCGAACATCTTTACCAATGTGATCATTACTGTCTTCTTATATGTGCTGTCAATCTGCTGTGTCTGTTAATCTTGTTTAAATTTCCAATCAAGTTGTCAATGTAATCAACCAGAGCTTTAATATACCAATGTGCTATACTTACTATTCTCTCTCATCTCATTTTTTTTCTTGCAATGTATCTGTTATCATTTTATTAATTCTGCTAGAATTTACCTACTTAAAATTATCTGTTAGATTAAGGACCTGCCCGAAACGCTGCGCGTACTAGTGGCTTTACAAGATTGTAAATACTATGCTATGTATTCTCTCTAACCCAATGTACCTTCTTGTATATAAATAAATAAATAAGGTCTCTGATAGACTATCATGCACCAGCTTTGGTCCTGCAAAACGGCAAAAGTATTGATTGATTGGAAAAAATGCAAAATGAAGCACTCAGAATTATATTTGGCTGTCCTATAACTACCAAAGTTCTCAACATGCGGAAAGAATTAAATATACTTAGCATTAGAGATAGAATATTTGAAATTAATCTTATGATGGGACTAAAGCTTCTGCGTGATAACAAAAACAACATTGTGTCAGTTGCACTGTTAGAACACATACGAAATGGAACCAGCGAGTCTAAATGGATTCAAAGAACTGCCACTCATATTAAAATGATGGGACTGCACGATGTATATACAGATGAAAGAGTACAGCACTTCCTTCCACCCTGGCAGATAGTACCTTTTGACATCCTGACCCCTGCATACCCCACCAAGAAACTAATCACAAACAACCCTCATGCTCAGCTTGCTGCTAAATTAAGCACCATAGAACACATTCACAATATATAAGCTGAAAACAACATTGCTCAGACCATATACACTGACGGATCACTCAATACAGCTACAGGGAGGGCAGGAAGTGCTGTTATTGCTCATCAACCCGATGGCAGCACAATTCAAAGGAATATCCGAATTAGTAACTGGGCGTCCACAATGCAAGCCGAGTTGGTAGCAATACTGGCAGCACTCGAAATTATTGACAACACTGAAGTAGACAGCTTAATTATTTCTGACTCCCTTTCCTCACTACGAGCAATAAACAGTTTGCAATCAAATAATAACGTGCTTGTCTTGGAAGCTAGACGTAGATATATAAGAATACTTAGCAAGAGGGTAAATATAAAAATGTTGTGGATTCCTTTTCACATTGGCCTGCCGGAACATGACAAAGTTGACGCCCTTGCTAAGGCTGCAGTAAATAAAGACAGATTTGAACGGAATTTTGAGTTATCAAATAGGTCCCTTAAAAGTGTCATTAGACGAGAACTCCTGGATGAATTTGAAGAAAGTAGAACTGTGCAAACTGGAACTAGCAGGTCCATTGTTCATCACAATGAAATGTGTGAAATAAAACATGTGTATGGGGCAAGTAACAAAGTCAGTAGACTAACAGATGTTGTCACAGCTCGTATAAGACTTGGCTACAAGTATCTCTGGCAGTACGGCTTGTATAGGGATCTAGATGAAGTAAAGTGTAAAGTGTGTGGACAAAGACAGGGACACACACTCGAACACTATATCTTGGATTGTAGTAAAATTGAGCCATTTAGAGATAAATCTAAGCTCACTCTGTATGATATGACAACCTATCTTATTACCATCTTCTTGAGATTATCTTGAGATGATTTCGGGGCTTTTTAGTGTCCCCGCGGCCCGGTCCTCGACCAGGCTTCCACCCCCAGGAAGCAGCCCGTGACAGCTGACTAACACCCAGGTATCTATTTTACTGCTAGGTAACAGGGGAATAGGGTGAAAGAAACTCTGCCCATTGTTTCTCGCCGGCGCCTGGGATCGAACCCAGGACCACAGGATCACTAGTCCAGCGTGCTGTCCGCTCGGCCGACCGGCTCCACCACCATCGATAAATTACCTAAAATCCTTGCACTGTATCCACATTTCGCTTCCAGTAGATGAACGACATATGAGATTCAGAAACAAGTAGTGTATTGTGAGGACTAATAATAAACAGAAGCTCCCCAATGACTCTGTAATATCTCCATTAGTCAAACTATTATGTATTAGCGATAAGACCTACCATTAATGTATGATAACTTACTGTAAATATATAGCTCTTGAAATAGCACTTTCTCTGTAACTAGCTGACATTGTAACTATAAAGTGTGAAGGATAGATGAAATTTCTTATGTAATAATCTAAGATGAGGTGTGATAAAGACCTTTTGTGCCCTCTGTAATGCTTTTGCGCTACCGCTCACAGGATGAGTATGGGGTGCACAATAAACTAGCCGCCTCCGGCGGCAACAATCAATCAAAGGACGGCCGCGGCTTCAAACAGTTTAGTGTGAGGACGGGTTGTTGGCTGACTACCTCTGTTAAAATCACTACGCTGTAAGTGCTTCACCCACGTACTTCAAATACAAATAACCACCAACAGAACCTAAACACCTAACCTAACCAGTGCCTAAACAGGTTAAATACCGTTTATACTGCCATTACCTAGGCAATGGTAATATAAAATAATATTAATTTATGTTTGAGAAAATTCATGTTTTGAATGAACAGGCATGTTAAAATTTACGAATGCGTCTTTGAGGTCGACCGCTGGGTGGAATGGACTTGGCCTGAGGACGGGTTGTGAGTAAACCGATTTTCATTCATAAATAGGGGGTTTGGCGGGTGCATGGAATGGACTTTGGGTCTTTGTTTAGAGGACGGGCTGAGGACAGGTGGCATACACTCTGTCCAAATGCTCGTTAACCCAGCTGTAAAACCCTCGTTTATGAGTGAAAAATACTTACAACACGCCTCACAACTTGTCTGATGTTCCCTGCCTGTCCTCGTCAACAAAGGCCAAATGGTCATTAATCCAACAGCCAAAAATCACTGTTTGTGAATGAAAAAGGTTTACAAATACAACAAATACAAATACAAATATTTATTCAGGTAAAGTACATACATACAAGGTAAGATACAAAAGTTGATGGATTTATAGATAGAGCTAGTACATACAATGCCTAAAGCCACTATTACGCGAAGTGTTTCGGGCAGTACACGACTCACAACTTCTTGAGGGTTATTAAGGCTCCATGAATCTTTGGAGGATTATTAGGACCAACACAGAAGCATTTAGTGAACAACCAACAAGTATATTTTAGCCCTAAACATAGCCCAGGACTAAAGTAAACTCTCAATGTATACACACCGAGGAACGGGACTCATGTCATGGTGTATACTGTATATCCTTCACCCCTTCATCTATACTTATACACTATACACATATCTTGACTGATAACTTGCCGTTGCTTAATGCTTGTGTCTTGTATTAGAGCATCTTCCTAATATTTACCAAAAATGCTATCTATTATTTTTAAGAAACTTATATGACTTATATGAAAAATAAATGCTTATTTCATACGATTTTGACAATGGGAATTTTATGCTAATTAGTCTACATATCTGCACACGAACCTGTATGCCAATATTCTCTCTACTCTAATTAAGTCATATTGTTATTATTTTTACTAGTCTATTTAACCTGTAATAATAAATCTCCAACAAAACAGTTAAACTAATGTATGCCAATTAATTTTTAGTAGGCATATTAAGCAAAGATTTATACACACACTTCACCCTCTCTGCCAATATCCTGTGCTTTAGCAGAGTCAAAA